GCATCAGAAACTGGCCAATGGGAAAAAGCTCATTTTGTTGGAACTGATTTTGTTGTCCCTTGTACCTACACTTGGTGGCAAGAAGGTGCTCAAATATTGCTGATCAAGTTTGAGAAGATCCCATGCCCAAGCTTGGAGCTGCTCCTCATCAGTAAGTTGAAACTAAGCCGCACATTGCAAAACAAGCTAGAGTGAAGGGATTTGGAGCTCAATTGAGAGAATAGCCTCAATGTAAGCGATTAATTTTTCCATTCTACTTTAGTCACTTAACCACACCTTCGACCACTTGGAGGGGTCTCACTCACCACCTCCTTAAGTCCAATTCAGAACTTAGGACTTGCTAGCCCCGAGAATGGCATCCATGCCACTCATCCCTTGCACTTAGTCCAAGTGCTCCACGTGTCCGGTCCTAAGACCGACACCCCAAGGTATCACCGACATACTAGCCCGTTACGGTAAGGCCATGCCCCTTTACCTTGGTCATACCGGTGGTCTAACACCACCTGCATCAGAATCCCGTCTCTCAAGGACTGGACCATCCGTCCATGAGTGATCATTCCAGATCCACTCCTTAGCATCCTTAGGATGCCCGCAGATGTGAGGAATAGCCTTCCCCAATATCCCTTTTCTGGTCCCCACCAAGTCCCTTTCTGCCCATGGTCGTGTTCACCAACACTACCACTGGATCGAGGCCCACAGGCCTGACCACTAAGTCCCACGGTCTTCTGGGACTTCCTCACCACACGACTGTGTCCTTGGTCACTACCCCAGAGGACTGCTCCTCTTCCTTTCCACAGTCTGGGCCTTTGGGACAACATTTCAGAACACCGTGGCCTTACGCGAGCCACCTGGGTACTCTCCCCACTTTTTGCCTTTAGGTGCTCTAGCCATGGGCTTAGAGCGAGGTTCCGTTGAGCCACGCCTGGTATCCAAGTAGGTAGTGCCACCCACACTTGGACTGGGAGCATCGGCCAGTCGATCTCCCGGGGGAACTAGAACACTTCACCAAGCTACCCCGCTTGTCGGTCCGTATTCACTCTAGTCTTGGACTTCCCAGTGGTCAGTTCATCACCCAACACTGGGTCTGGCCTTCCTGGGCCAAACTGGCCTTTCCTGGCCAAACTGGCTCCACTGCAGTCCTCCCCCTTACTATACTTTTGGAGCTCACCAAACCCCCCAGGGTCTGGGAGACGAACGCTTTGGGCTTTCACCCTCTTAGACTCGAACTCGGACTCGGACTCGGACTCGGACTCGGACTCGGACTCGGACTCGGACTCAGACTCGGACTCGGACTTGGACTCGGGCTCGGTCTCGGTCCCCGCCTCGGTCTCGGTCTCGGTCCCGATCTCGGTCTCGGTCTCGGTCCCAGTCTCGGTCTCGGTCTCGGTCTTAGTCCCAGTCTCGGTCTCGACCTCGGACTTCATCTCGGGTCCTTCTCGGACTCCATCTCGGATTCCATCTCGGACTCCATCTCGGACTCCGTCTCGGTCCATCTCAGACTCCATCTCAGACTCCACTTCGGACTCCATCTCGGACTCCATCTCGGGTCCATCTCGGACTCCATCTCGGACTCCGTCTCGGTCCATCTCAGACTCCATCTCGGACTCTGTCTCGGTCCATCTCGGACTCCACTTCGGACTCCATCTTGGACTCCACCTCAGACTCCACCTCGGACACTTCCACGTGTCATGTGTTGGTCCTTTTTGGGTCCCTTTTTAGAGGCTCACTTATTGCTCGCTTCGTGCTTGTTCCTCGAGCACTTTGTTGGGAGTTCCACTCCCGTTCTCGACCTTTCAAGTCGGAGCTTTTAGTCCAAACGTGTTACGCTCGTTTGGCTTTCACTTCAGCCACTACCACATGGCACCCTTTCCAGCTCCACTTTGGGGCCTAGGGATTTTGTGTCTCACACTCAACTCCATACATTAGAGAGAATGGAGTGGCAGCCACAGCAGTCTTGAATGTCAATGTGAATAATCTTTAGTGAGCTTTGAGAGAATGGTCTTCAAGATTTTGTTGCTATACTCAACTTGGCCATTTGACTAAAGGTAGTAACTATTGCTCTTCATGCACATAAGATCTGGAGGAGTTGTTGCGTGACTTGCCTGAGGAAAGCACCACTTATACCTGGCATTGCGCAGTAATTTGTTTTTTGCAGTTCTCCAATGCATAACTCTAGCTTACCACGTCCTTTAATGTGGATGATTATCATCACTTACGACAGGAACTAGTACTTGTAGCACTAGGACTGGCTTAAATGCAATTGTTGTTGCTGTTATTTCTCTATGACTAATTTAATATAATAATTTTTTAAATACATATTACCACATGTTGTTACTTAGAAAAAAGTTTTAAAATAATATAAACTTATTTAATTAATTATTATTAAGCCATTTGTCAAATTTTGAGATGGCTATGTTACAACTTATGTCGTGAAGGTCATGTGTGTAAAGTATTAATTTCACATCATTTGTGTGGTACATAAAGTTTTTTTTGTTAGAATTTTGAAAGACCAAATCATATTTCAAAGCTTTTAAGAATTCACTTTACAATGTTTAAAATAAATTTTTTTATATTCTTAATTTTCTATATTAAATCTACTATATCAACTATAAATTATAGTGGAAGGAATGGTATGACAGTTGATAGTGTTAATTTAATTATTACTGCTATTGAATTAATGATTAATAACACGAAATCAGGAGAGTTGCCAAAGGGTCAAAGTATGCAATATGATTATACAATACAAGATGATATATATGGACCTTTAAACATGACAAATCAAATATGGCTTTATAGTTCAGATGGAAAATTTATTGATACAACTTGTGGAGGAAATCTTATTGAATATGAACAAGATGATGGTGATAATGTAAGACAAAGTTTGACTACTCTATTGGATTTATATCGTATTCGTATTCAAGATTTACGTGCAAGATTTATTAGAATAGTGAGTGGTTATTATGCTATTGAGTTTATAGAAAAAAACTTTCAATATAAATTACCACAAATTCAAAGTATTATGCTCAATAAATTACATGATTGTAGAATTGATCTCACTACTTTAATTAGTAACATGCCTTATAATTCTTTAAAAGCTACTGAATTTTTAATATCACCAAATCATAAAGCTTATTTATATTTACATTTAAATTGCATTCTTGCTTTATATGTAGGAGATCATATAAAATGGTATAAAGGATCTTCAAAGTTTAAATACTGTGAATTTAAGATAGGAATAGATGGGAATATTGTATTATATTCTGAAAATTCAATTATGGTTTGGTCTCCTAATATATATTGTAATAAGAAGAGAAATTGTGATATAGTAAAAACATTTCTTTCTCTTCAAAGTGACTGTAATTTGGTATTATATGAATCCCATCAAAAAACATTTTTAAAACATCCTAAATTGAGGGTATTATGGGCTTCAAATACAAACCCATGCAATTAATTGGAGATTCTGCATTTAGGTAATTTTATTTAATTTTTAAAAGAAATCATATTGCATCCCGCTTTTATTCTCTAGCTCAGAGATTCTCATGATCTCTAAATCTGCACTATAATTGAGCCACCTTGCATGCCTTAATCCACATCACACCCCATGTTTGATTGTTCAGAAGTTTCTGTGATATATGCTATAACTTAAAAACTATCTTTAAACTGAAATTAACCCATGTAAATCAATAAAGAATCTGGCTAGGGAAAGTATATGAATGTAGACTTTTTATTTCTTTTAAGAAATATTGACTAATTGTATACAAATTATCAAAGTTTTCTCTCAATTTCCATAAAACAAAGTAGTGCAAATTAATGCCTTCAAAATCCTAAAACCTTTATTTTTATAAGTCTATTTTTGTAAAAACTTATTTTTATAAAACCTTAAGCTAATTGAAAAAAAACATGATCTCAGTATGGACATGTCTATCACAATTGATCATTCACTGAAGGTCATGGATCCTTCTTTGAGAGAAGTTACCATTATTACATTGCATACCTCTAGATTGACAACAAGGTAACCATTGTTGACAAAATCCCAGAAGGCAAGAAACATTTAAAAATGCATTCTTCCAAGCATCCTAATCTACAAAAGTTGCTGTTGCCATTACTATTGTGTACCACTCTACTATTACATCATTGCAGGAAAACATTGTTGTTGCTCATTGTTTGTCATGCTCACAAGTTCATTAGGATACTTCATCTGACTTGTCACTGCTAGTGTGGCTATGTTGACAACTAGATTTGATTGATTTTGTTGTTGCTCTTGCTAGGTGGTGGCACACTTTGATAGGCTACTGTTAAGACTTTTTTATTCTATTTTTCCTTCCTAAGAAAATTTTCAACAATTTTTTTTACTTGTTCTTGTTGTTGTCCCTGGCTACACATGGCTTGCTGGCCCTCCTTACTCTACTCACAAATGCAGCTCCTGGCCAACACAACCAAAAACCAAGCAATGCATCCACTAGAGTTTGTGCTTGAACTCCACTACAAAGGGCAGTGAATCTATTCATCCAGCAAGTGGCCAAGTTCTCAGCCAATAATTTGATGCACTCTTGCCTATAATTGCATACTACCAATCTGAGTATAAATCTGATCTTGCTCCAGAGGAAAAAAAAAATAAGAAGGGACATAAGATGATGATTGGCTTCATCTGATTGGTTCCACCTCTACCCTTTATTTTACATTCCCCACTGGATATAATCTACTCCAACACATCAGCTCTATGTTATGCTCCATTATCCCAGCTCCACTCATCATCACGTGCTCCTCTCTTGCTTCCCCTAATCACTTTTGCACAATAAATTGCCACTTTAACTTCCTTAGAATAAAATTCTCTAGAATCTTAACTTGATAGCCATACCTTACCATGTGTGTCTTAGATCTCATAGAGATAGTCCTTCCAAAGAAAAGTTAATTATCTTAGGGAATTCAAACATTTTTCTTTGCTCCAAGTATCTTCTCTTGGTTTATTTGATTCTATTGAGTAGAACTTAAAGAGTGGATTTTAGTGATGTCCATGCTTTTAGAAGGTGCTGGAAATATTCATAAACAGGAAGGAGTGTAAAATTCTCTAAATTTTACGGCAAACCTGTAAAACACAATTAATAACTTCCACTAATTAGTAAGATGATTCCATTAACGCGGACAATGATCTCGTGCCTGCTCCTATATATGCTTGGAACCTTCGCGATCGCCATCGCCTAGCTCGAGAAGCTTGGAGTGGATCTTGTCGCGGCTCGTCTCTTAGAAAGAAGAGCTCTTTTGCATTCCTATAAACCCACAAGCATCATAAGTTATGCCTTTGATACAAGCTGCATTGCACGAAAGGAGCAAGCAAACAAAGAAATATCAATATCAGATGACTTACTTAATATGGTCGATCGAAGATGACTCGCAGCTGATCCTCCGTGATAGGGAACTGTCTGGCTTTATCGATCCTAAACAGCCTTAGGATCTCCTGGAAAACTTCGCGAGCGTTTGCAAACCTTCCACTCTCGTAGTAGGCCTGAAAGACGGCGTTGTAAGACAGCAGCAGGGGGCGATGGCCGAGCGAAACCATCCTCTGGAGTATGTGGTGCGCCTCCTCGGTTCTTCCCAGCTCACAGAGCTTTCGGATCAGCTCAAGGTAGCTCGCTCCAGTGGGCTTGAACTGGCGGGCAACAGTTTCTTCCAAAGCTCCATAGGCTTCGTCCAGCATTCCGGCTTGACAGTAGCCTTCCAACAGCACCCTGTAAGTGTCTCGAGTTTGCGGCGAATCCACCTTTTGCATCTGCTCAAACAACTGCCGAGAAACTCCAGCTTTTCCAGCCTTGAAGTGGTACTTGATCAGAAGCTTGTAGGACTTTATCGTCGGGGACAATCCTCGCTTCACCATTTTCTGGTGGAGCTCGTAAGCGTCCTCTAGTCGGCCCCTCCTACACAGCTTTGTTACAAGGCTGCTGTGAACCATGGCCATCTGTCTGCTGAGTGTCGGCTTTCCATGCTCGACCATTTTCTGGAACTGCGCCAGTGCCTTGCTCACCTTGCCAAGCCTCACAAGTCCTCGTATGATCTCGTAGTACGTCAAAACATGGATCTCACAACCCCTTTCCAGCGCTTGCTCAGCAACTGTCAAGCTTATCTTGAGTTTTCCCGACGTGAAAAGCATCCTGACGAGAGTATCCCACAGGTGGTGATTGATCGAGCCTTGTTTGCTGTCAGCTTGTGTCACTAGCTGCTGTGCAAGGCCTGGATAGCCGGCTTGGCACAGTCCTTCCACAAGACTGGTGCAAAAAAGTGCGTCTGGAATCCACTGCTTCTCTTCCATCTCCGAGACCAACTTGTGGACGAAGGCTGGCAGCTTCTTGTTCCTAGCGATCCACCTCAAGCCAGCCATGATGGCGTTGTGAAGTTCACACGATGGAGCACACCCTCTCCGGACCATGTCTTTCACGAGCTCGTCCACCTCCATGGCTCTTTCGTCTCGCAGAAAGGCGCGAACGAGCGTTGCGTACATCCCCACTGTTGGCTGCATGTCTTTGGCGATCGTCTGGAGAATCCTGTACGCCTCTTCCAGCTTCCTTTCCCTGCAGAGCTTGTTGATCTGAGAAACATACGCAGCCAAGCCTTTGAGGCTGCCGCATTCGTTTCTCACATCTTCCTCAAACTTGCGAGCGTCCTCCAAGCTCTTGCTCTTGAAAAAAACTTCGGAGATAAGCACGTAAGTCGCTCCATCGGGCTCGCATCCTTTTCTTATCATCTCCGTGAAGAGCCTCCGGGCAGCGTCCACGCTCTTGTGCCAAGCCAGCGCTCGCATGAGCGAGTTGTAAGTCACAGCATTGGGAGGACAGCCGATATCTTCCATCTTGTAGAACAACTCCACAGCGTTGTCCACTTGCCCAGCCTTGCACAGTCCCTTGATGAATATAGTGTAGAGCACCACGTCGGGCCGAGCGTTTCCACGCTCTTGGATCTGCTTGAGGAGCTCAAAAGCATAGTCCACCTTTCCAACGTTGCAAAGCCCGTCTATAAACGCACTATACGTAACGATGTCGGGACTTTCCATCTTTTCCAGGTACGAGCAAGCCTTGTCAAACTGCCGTGCCTTGCAAAGCCCATCGATCACAGTCGTGTAGAGCACTACGTGAGGAGTGTATCTTCTCTCGATCATCTGCTGGAAGAGCTCGCAAGCCTCTGCGATCCTGCCGGCCTTGCAAAGCCCCGAGACAAGAGCTCCATAAGTGTGAGAGTTTGGCTGGCAGAGAGCCTCGTCCATGTCTCGAGAGAAAATCTCCAGTGCCTTGTCCACGAGCTTGGCCTTGACAAGCCCGTCTATGAGACTGTTATACACCACCACGCTCAAGAATCGCAAGCTCTTTCGCAGCCTTTGGTAGTGATCCGTGGCCTCGGAGATCTTCCCAGCCTTGCAAAGTCCAGTGACGAGGAAACCAAAGCACTGGACGACCCTCTCTTCTTCTTCTCCACCATAGCGTTCCTTAAACTCTTCGAAGATCGCCAGTGCCTTCTCGGTATCGCCCTGTGCCGCTAGACCATCCACGAGAATCCCATACATGAACTTGGAGGGAGCCAAGGAAAACCTGGAGAGCTCCTGGAATCTATCGTATGCCTGCCCAGCTCTTCCACCCTTGACAAGAACATGAACGAGGCAATCGTATGCCAAGATCCCGGGCCTGTAGCTCCCACCACTTCCAGACGCCCACTCGAAGAACGAGCACGCCATCTCTAAGCTCTGAGCTCCAAGCACAACCCTAGCGACTAGAAAATCCGAGAGAAGAGACTCGAATCGCTGCCCCAGAGCACTGCCGATTTCCTGTCCATGCTCTAGGAACCCCAAAATATCGAGGATCGCATCGGCATGGCCGAAGAATCCACTCGAGCGACTCGAGCGTACCTGGCGGATGCTGCATTCCACGCGATTGTAGCGCTGCTGGAGCGATTTCGTCCGGGACGACGCCGAGATGAGCACCGCATTTGGCTTGGAAGTAGCAGAGGCGACGAGCGAGCACAGCTCCTTCAAGGGATCGCCATTGCTGTCTTGCGAGCCGGGGTGCTTCTTCTTCTTGAGCACTGGATTCGAGCGGCCATTTTCCCCACCATTGTCGCCAGTGGAAGATGAGGAGGAGGAAGCATTGCTATCGAGATTGAGACGGAAGAAGCGCGAGCGAGGGCGCAGGAGCCCCAAGCGCATCCTCTGCCCACATTCTTACACCCTAAACCCCTCGTCATTTTAATTTATAATCATATATTCATAATAAAAGAAAAGGAATATATTTTTAAAAAAAGGAAAAAATAAATAATGGAATTATTTGGAGTAGCTTGATTGGTTTAATATAAATTATGTTTTATGAAGCAACAAGATAAAATAAAATTCTACATTTGCAATATTTATTTATTCACTATCTATTTCTTTATTATTTTAATTTAATATTTAAACATTCTTTGGGAACATTTAGAATTATTATATTCTAAGTTTATAACTTTAAATCTCCTCAAAGGTTATTTAGTGCACAAAGATGTTTAATTCTAAATATCTTAAAATATTTAATTAATTGAAAAACATTATTTATAGGAATTTTCTTTTTACATTTGAACCCAAATAAATTGTCTCTCAAGTCATTATCTTTTATTTCTTAGAAGTAATTGTAAATTATAACAATTGAAAAGTGATATATAATTTCAGTAAAATATAATATACACTCTATATATTAAATAAGTACAAAGTAAATTTTCACTTTTAGCATAAAAGATTTAATATTATTTATAATACTTTTGTCTTCCAAATGACTCTTTTACAAAACTAAACCCACCTAAGAAAATTAAAAAAAAATTTAAAGCACTTCTTGACTTTCCATATGACTCCTTTACAAAATTAAATTCACCCATTATAGTTTAGAAAAATTAAAATTCTTGTCTAGGCACTCCCTCACTTGAAGACAATTTTTATCTTTATTAAAATTTGGGTGGAATTCCAAAAAAAAACTTTTAAGTGAAATTTAATTTTAATAATCAGCAAGTGTATTCAAATTGAAACTATATATTAATGGAGAAAAGTATCTTTAATTAATAAAGCTTTACCTAGGAATAATTTTGATAGGATGAGCCTCTGTGTTAAATACCCATTGATTGAAGGGGAAATTATCAGAAGAAGAATATAAAAGAAAAAGATACTTAAGGGTCTCTGCTAAAAAATAACTTTGCATCTTATTGTCTTTTTTACCAGTAGTAACCTGTAATAAGATAATAAATTTATTATTGAAACGCATATTAAACATTAATCTTACATCAACATGACCAACATAGCCATTTTCCACTCGTGAGTATTTCTCATATGCCAAAAAAATGTTCCAACCCCATTCTCTATATGCTTTATTGTTTGTTAATTGCCACATATAAAAAATTGACTCAAGAGTCTCTGGTCTCATAATGTTCTTTGGATCTTGAATTGTCATTTCCTTCACAAATATAGAATTAGTATTTGCAAGAAGATTTACTAAGAACTTTGTATCAACCTTGCCATTATAAATATAAGTGTCAGCAGCAATTCTTATAGGTGAGGAATAGAAAAAATTATAGCAGGTGGTGGTCAACTGATTTATATGTGTAGTGAAATTATAAAAAGAAAAGGAAAGAGAAAAAAAAACCTGTTGGGCAAGCCAAAGATACTGATTTTTCTTTTGAGCTGAAGCATCATAAGAGCCAAGAACAAGCATAGCAGGAACAAAACAAGCAAGCTCCTCCATCTGAAATGTTTCATATGAATATGCAAAAGTTTATATGAAAAAGCTTACCTTGGGAAAAAGGTCACCATTACTATTGCGTTCAAATACATAATAGTATGGTGCTTTTTTTTTAATCAAGGTCATCAAACCATCCATAGATCTCTCCCACATTTGTCTAAATGATAATAAAAAATATTAAAATAAATGGAAAGGAGTAAGGAATACCTATAACCTTGTACTGCTTGTGTTTTACCTCCAAGAACCCATGTTTTTAGAAGGTACTCATAAAAGCTAGAATTAATTCTATAAGCATAGAAAATATTAAAAAGATTATAGAATACCTGTCACCTGTACCCCCAAAGGTAACTTTGTCATACCGTTGTAGGGTATGTGGGTCAATGTAAACAGGAAGGAGTCCATCTTTTGGAAATATTTTCTGAATTGTTCTCATGGCAGTTTCAACCTGTAAAACACAATTAATAGCTTTCATTAGAGATGATTCCATTAACCTTGATGCGATACTTTTGCAATCCAGTTCTTTGTGACAGAGCAATAAACTCAACTTGCAAGGTTCCAAGTTCAGCCAGCACACTGGCTCCCTAATCAATCCATAAGTTTTGGAAATCAGGTTTACCAAAGAACATATATATACCACGAGATTTCTCGCCTCTCCACTTGCCAGATTCACCCTCCCATAGGGTATTCCAGTCTCAGTATTGAATGCTGGAAGTAACCTATCTGCTAATTGTCTCGCTTTCGTTAAGAAAATATCATCCTTTGTGAGGTCATATGTGCTTATCAACCCTCCCAGAATTCTATGCATAACAAAAACTTAGGAAATTGAGACAATATTTGTAGAAATCATTACCGAACTGTTGTTTCAAACAGATTGACCTCATAGTTTATGTTAAAGTTGAGCCCAGCTACGAACCTGTGCATTAAGTTAGGCACATGATGTATCATCTGTTACAAGGATAAGTACGTTCTAGCTTTCTGAAATTGGGTGTGGAGGCCCATAATATAGAGTGTGTCCATTGCGTCTATAATGGTGGCACCAAGACCACCAAAACTGTTCACCCCATTTTTTGTCAAAGGCTAAACAAAAATATCAGAAGGAAAAAAAAAGTCAAAACGAGAGACAGAGGGTTAAAGGTTTTCCATATTACTTGTAGCTCGTCTTCACCCCAGGCGAATTTCTCATATGATGTCCAGGCATGGAGCATGGCTGCCCTCACTCTCTCTCTTCTTTGCAAGGTCTCATCTGTAGGAGCAAACTTCAGATCTTCCTGCACAAAATTGGACGATCAAAAATCAAAACTTTGGGGAATGAAGCAAAATGTCATCCTTGCCTCTGATGAGTGATCTGTGACGTTAGCCTACAGTACAAGTTATGAAAAGCCGGTAAGAACAAAAGTTTCTAGAACTGCACATACTGAGAAAATCCTGGAGAAGACTGTGAAGAGGAGGATGACCAGCACACGACCCATTGATCCAGTAAAGGTTAACTAACGCCAGTTTTTAAAACAGAAAGAAATCTGTCGCCATTCTTTGACCGCTTTGGAGATCCCGTCACAGCTATGCAAGTTTGGCCTGTTTCTCGTCACACATGGCAAAACCTCGAAAAGTTTTGCAAAGTAAAAAACTACCAAAAGTCCCGACAAGTGCACTCTCCAAGGCTCACGAACTTGTGGAAGCGGTTTGCGTCGCGGACAATGATCTCGCGCCCCGTGACTTTGGAGATCATCTTCGCGGCAGCGTGACAATCGCAGCACATTCTCAAGTTCTTCATCACCCTCAGCGGTGTTCCATGCGGCGTCGACAACACCCCAAACGCGATCGCCACCTTTTCGCTGTGGTATCCCAAAAGCTTGCTCTTGCTCGCGTCCTCGATGTCATGCAAGACCTCCTCGGTGCTTGGAACATACCCCGCTTTCGCGATCGCGTCGCCCAGCTCGAGAAGCTTGGCGTGGATCTCTTCCCACCTATTGTGGCTCGTGTCTCCCACCAAGAACTCGTGGATCTTGCCATCGATCTCGATCCAGCTCCGCCCGGGTTGCTTTCTCACGCCGCTCCTCTCCATTCTCTTGCGAGTGTCCTTGACGTCGTCCCACTTCTTGGCAGCGGCGAAGAGATTCGAGAGAAGTACGTGATCTCCGGAAGCTTGCCCTTTGGACTGCGACTTACAGACCGCCTCGGCTATGCGTTTTGCTCGATCCACGTCCCCGTGAACCTTGCATGCTCCAAGCAGCATCGTCCAAGTCACTGGATCCGGAAGAAAAGGCATGGTTCGGATGAGTTCTTCTGCGTGTTCCAGCCATCCTGCTCGGCTCAAGACGTCAACCATGGTGGAGAAGTTATCGGCATTTGGAGTGAGGCCATAGTCGCTTGAAATGCCGAGAAAGAGGACGCCAGATCTATAGACCAGGCCTGCATAGCTACAAGCCGATAGAACACATCCATAGGTGATGAGATCCGGCTTGATTCCCTGCTGCTGCATCTCCACAAAGAGTTCCAGTGATTCTATCGGGTAGCCGTTTTGGCAGTGAGCAGCGATGATCGCAGTCCAGGAGATCACGTCTTTGTTGTGGATTCTATCAAATACGAGCCTTGCGTCTTCGACACATCCAAACTTGGCATACATGTAGATGAGCGAGTTGCCAACGAGAACATCCGTGTCGAGATTGTGATGTCGAGAGATTCGAGAGTGAACCTCTCTTCCTTGCTGGATCGCTGTTAAGTTTGCACAGGCATCGAGAGCTGCCAGAAAAGTTCGCTGGTCTGGCTCCAAGTCCATCGCCTGGTACAGCTCCAAAACGTTCATGTAATCCCCACTTTGGGCATTTGCCAAAAGCATCGCATTCCACGATACAACATCTTTATCCTTTAAGTTGCTAAAACATTTTCTAGCCTCGCCAATACAACAAAACCTCCCATACATACTGATTAGCGAGTTGCTCAGATTGGTTTCTCGTCTCAGATCTATCGACTTGTTCGCCAAAATCTTCGTGTGGACAGCTAAACCCTGTTCTAATCTCTCTACTCCAGCTATCAGACCCAGAAATGTTACAGCGTCGGGTTTTAGATCCATACTTTTAAACAAATCCATTGCCCTGTCAAAATACCCATTCTGGGCAAATGCTGCTACCATTGCGTTCCAAGTAACAACGTCTTTCTCCAACCTTTCTTTAAAGATAGAAAATGCTTCGTCTAGCCGCTGGAATCTTCCGTACATTGTTATAAGCGCATTGCCGAGAATATGGTCTCTGGCCAGTGTCTCATCCGCGACCATGCAGTCGTACAAATGTCGGCCCTCTATCAAGCTCGAGCACGCCTCTAGGGCAACCACGTAGGTTATGTGGTTGGGGCTCACTCCCTGGAGATCCATCTCGCGGAAGATTTGCATCGCCAGGTGCTTGGATCCGTTGCTCGCGGCCGCGGCGATCATAATCGTCCACGAGTAGATGTTCTTTCGGTCGCCGATTTCATCGAACACGCGCCGGGCATCGCCGACGCTGCCGCATTTGCCATACATTTCGATCAGTAGATTCGCAAGGAAGCGATCCAGCTGCGAATTCCTGGCCAGGCGGTGGTGAATCCGCCGGCCATCGGCTAGGTTCTTGGATCTTCCGCAGCGCTTGATCAGAGACGAGCAGAGGTCTTTCAGGGAATCCGGGTGAGCCGTGTCCAGGGCGGCCAGATCGATTGTCTCTTGGTCGCCGCGATGCCGATATTTCGAGACAGAGCAGTGGATGCTCCTCTTGACAAGATTTCTTCTCACGAGCATCGAAGAAGCTCGATCGTGGCGGCATCTGGTCGATCGACGAGCTAGGGTTTATGGTACTATGGCGATTCAAGCTGCGGCATCTGGATCGACCGAGGCGCGCGCCGGCATTCTTGGAATCCCTGGCGCCCGTCGCAGTAGTATCATCCGATCAAGACGATCTGGAGAGCGCTCTCCACAGGTTAGACCAGGGCTCGAGGGTGGAGTCGGACGAATTCGCGGCTCTACTCCGGCAATGTGGGATCCAGGGCGCTCTCCCAGAGGGCCGGAAGATCCACGAACACATGGTGAGACGCGGCTACCAGGGTGAAAGATACCTCGAGAACTTGCTGGTGGAGATGTATGGTAAGTGTGGGAGCTTGCCCGAGGCGTGGGATTGCTTCGCCCGGATCGCGCTTCCAAACCTCTACTCCTGGACGATTCTCATCACTGCATATGCCCAAAACGGGCATTTGGATGAGGCGCTGGTGTTCTTCAGCAAAATGGCTCTGGAGGGGATCAAGGCCAACGCCATCACCTTCGTCGTCGCTATCAATGCGTGCGCCATACTCGGAGATCCCAGACGCGGTAAGGCTCTTCACAATTTCCTTGTTCCTTGTGGTTTTTTCGATTCCAGTCTTGTTGGAAACTCTCTGATTCACATGTATGGCAAATGCAGGGACTTGGACGCGGCCAGAAGCGTTTTCAACGAGATGAAGAAGAAAGATGTGGTGACTTGGAACTCGATCATATCGGCTTACGCGCAGAATGGTCGTGGGAAGGAAGCTCTCGAGCTCTACAACGACATGGACTGGACGCCGGACAAGATAACGTACGTCGGTGCTATCGAGGCTTGTGCGAGCTCGCAAGACTTAGAACAGGGTAGAATGATCCACGCTAGGATTGACAAAGGTGGCGTCAAACCCGACACAGTTCTCGAGAACAGCATCCTCAACATGTACTGGAAGTGCCGGAGCCTAGACGATGCCAAGACCATGTTTGCGACGATGGACAGTCCTTCGTTCGTGGCATGGAATATCATGATCCTGGCTTACGCTCACAGCGGATACGTGAAGGAAGCCCTCGAGACGTTCCAAAAGATGGACATCGAAGGTGTCGAGGCTGACTGCGTGAGCTTCTCCAGTGCTCTCGACGCCTGTGCGCACGCGAAGGCACTAGAGTTTGGCAAGGCGATTCATGACAGCCTCGGTTGCTCGGACTCGAGAGCTGTTTGCGTCAACAACGCTCTTACGAACTTCTATGGGAGGTGTGGTCGTCCGGAGGATGCCAGGATTATCTTCGACCAGATGCCGATGAGAGACGTGATCTCGTGGACAGCCATGATCTCTGTTTACGTTGAGACGGGATTCTCCGGAGAAGCTCTGGCTTTGTACAGAGAGATGTGCTTGGAGGGAGGAAAGCCGAATCAGGTGACGTTGAAGATAGCTCTGGATGCTTGTGCGGAACTGGGGGATCTATCAGCCGGGAAGGGAATTCATTCCTGCATTCTCTGGAGCGAAGAAACGGCACCTCAAGTCGGTAACACGCTCGTCAACTTCTACAGTAGGTGTGGTGAAGTCCGGCTAGCTCGAGCAGCCTTTGACAAACTCCGAGAGCGGGACATGGCCTCCTGGACGGCGATGTTTCGGGCCTACGGCAACAATGGCGACGACCGGGAAGTCATCCAGCTCTTTCACGAGATGGTTCTCTCCGACGAACTACAGCCCGACACAGTCATCTTCAGCATCGCTTTGCAGTCGTGTGCCAACGTGAAGTCTCTAGCGGATGGAAAGGCGATTCACAAGTCTCTAGCCGACAGCAGCGAAGCCGTCAAGACCGACGTGGTTGTGTGCAACACGCTGCTGTCCATGTACGCCAAGAGTGGGACCTCGGCCGACGCGAGAGCCGTGTTTGAGAGCATGAGCCGCCGGAACGTCATCACCTGGAACGGGATCATGAAAGCTTACGCTTTGCAAGGCGAATTTGGCGAGGCACTGGTGCTGTTCCAGCGGCTCGAGGCCGAGAAGGAGGTGAAGCCCGACCGCGTGACGTTCGTGGTGGCAATCGACTGCTGCGCCTGCAAGCCCTGCCTGGAAGAAGGGAGGAGAATCCACGCCAGTGTGGTTGCTTCCGGCCTCGACCTGGACCTCATCATCGGCAACACGCTGGTAAACATGTATGGGAAGTGTGGACAAGTTGGAACCGCGAGGGGGCTGTTCGACAAGATGATCGTCCGGGACGTGGTAACTTGGTCATCGCTGCTGGCAACGTATGCTTCCAACGGGCACGGCATGGAAGGACTGGAGCTCTTCCGGCTGATGCAGCAGGACTACACGGAGCCAAACGAAGTTACGTTCCTGGGGGTGCTCTTCGCTTGCAGCCACCTCGGGTTCGTGCGCGAGTCCAAGAGCTACTTGTTCGCGATGCAGCGAGACTATGGCCTGACGCCCGGCCAGGAGCACTTCTCGTGCGTGATCGATCTCCTAGCTCGCTCCGGGAGGCTGGACGAGGCCGAGGAGCTGGTTCGCGGCCTGCCGTTCCAGCCGGACAACGTGATCGTCACGTCGCTGCTGGGGGCTTGCACGACTCAGGGGGACTTGAAGCGCGGGATCCGAGCGGCGGAGCTCGTTTTCGGCCTGGACGCGAGCGACCAGGTGCCGTATGTGCTGCTGTGGAACATCTTCGCGGCCGCGGGGCACTGGGACGGCGTGGAGAGAGTGGAGAAGGCGCTTGGATGGAGGGCGCTGGAATTCACTTGAAACTGGTCGATCGAAACCATCGTGGAAATGGTCGAAACCATGGTCGATTCATCGTGAAAATGGTCGATCCATCGTGTGTGAGTCTCCAGGGAAGTGGTCGATCGCACAGTGGAAGTTTTGGGCGCTCCGAGAACACCGGAAACTATCGCGAGGAAGAAGGGCGAATATCCTGGAATATACCTTTGGAGATCCTATTTTTCCCTTGGGCATTAATCTATTTTAGGGTTCTTGGGATTTAGGGTTTGTGGATGGATCTCAACGTGCTGCCAGAGGAGACGGAGGAGGAGGAGGAATGCCAGGTTGCATTGCAGGAGGAAATTGAAGCGGCGGCGGAAGAGAATCCAGAGGAGGAGGAGGCGGCGGAGGAGGATGGCCGCGTCGAGACGGGCGTGGAGACGTATCGGCGGGTAAATGAGAGAGAGAGATTAAAATATCGAATTGAGAATCCCTTGTCTCGCCCAGGAGCGCGAGGAACGAAGGGCGAGGCTGAAACGAAAGCTTGAGAACGCTTCTATACAACCCGAGAAACCCCGCCGGGCTCCAGCAGCTCCAGCTCCGCCCCCACCGCAGCAACAGTATGCTGCTTCTTCGATTCCTTTGATTCCCAAGGGTACCACTCAGATTTTTTGTTCTTGGTTTCGTTTTCATTTGGTTTTCCTTAGGCTGGATCGATTGTCCTCCATTTGGCGAGCCTGTTCTCAGGTTTGTCCCATCTAAAGTCTTTCTTGGGGAGGCCTACAATGCTGCCATAGAGCCGGGGAAGCGATATAGCTGGAAGCGTATCCTACGACAGCACAAGGATGTTGGTTTGATAATCGATCTCACCAACACGACCAGATACTACTCCGCGAACGAAGTGACGAGAGCTGGTCTCAGCCATTTCAAAGTAAGCTGCTTTTTCTTGCTTTTGTGTATTACATCGTCTTGCTCACTGCTTAGATTCCATGCAAAGGTAGGAACGAAGTCCCTGACGCTGAGGCTGTAAATACTTTTGTCTATGAGGTATGTGATTCTGTTTTCTATGGCGTAATGCCGGTGTAACTGTTGCGCTTAGACACATCGCTACCTTCAAAGATCCAAGACCTCACGCGTCCTCGTTCACTGCACGCACGGATTTAACAGGACCGGGTACATGATTGTCAACTATCTCGTTCGCTATTGCGGCCTCCCCGTGACTCAGGTGTGCTTATTGTTTTTATTTTTGTCTCGCATTCGGAACTCTGATTTCTTTCCGTGTAGGCTCTCGCAAAATTCGCCGCTGCAAGGCCTCCCGGTATCTATAAAAAGAGCTACATTCGGAAATTATATGCGCTCTACCACGACCCCACTCCTTTCGCTGCTCCTGCTGTTCCTGATTGGAAAAGGCTCGATTTGAATGGTACCGTCGATGATGATGACGGCGATGACGAGGAGGACGACCCTACGCTAGACCGGCAAGAAAACGCTGCTCCAATGACAAACGATGATGTTCTTGGCGATGCAATTTCAAGTGAGGAGCAAATCGAACTCCAACGATTGTGTCTGTCGTTGCTTGACCTGGTAAGCCATCGGAATTCTTCAGCTGATCTGTTCGACTTCAACCTCCAGGCTTCACAATCCAGAAACTTGTCTTTTCCAGGCTCACATCCCGTGTCGCTGGACAGGTATGCCCCTTTCTTGTTATGTATCTGATTCTTACAAGGCCTGGGCAGGAGCAAGCTTCAACTGCTGAAACAACATTACTATTTTGCAACGTGGAAAGCGGATGGAACCAGATACATGATGCTCATACTTTCTTATGGCTGCTACCTTATTGATAGGAAGTTTGAGTTTAGGAGAATCCAGATGCGGTTTCCTCATCCTCGAAAGGTGTGGAATTGCTAAGTTGGTTGAGACTATTCTACTCTCCATTTTGTTTAGGACTCTCCTTTGCCCGTGCATCATATGACGCTCCTAGACGGAGAAATGGTGATTGACAAACATCCAGAGACGGGGAAACTGGAGAGGAGGTACCTCATATATGACATGATGGTCGTTAACGCCGAGTCACTCGTCAAGGTTCGTCCGATTGTTCGTGGAGCTATTTAGCCTGGTTGACTTTTGCAGAAACCCTTCTCGCAAAGATTTCATGGGATAGAATCGGACGTTATAAGGCCCAGACACAATGACGCGGGCTCAAGTGGCTATCTTTACAAGGATGAAGAATTCAGAGTATGGAACCTTTGGGACCATGTTTGTGCTTCACCTGCTTCGCTTGGTTTTTTTCCAGGTCCGTAGGAAAAACTTTTGGCCCCTTTCGAGCACAAAACTGCTTTTCCAGAAGCTCATTCCCGGTCTTTCGCACCGATCAGATGGACTCATCTTCCAGGTTTGTAACTTGATCATACTTGTCGGCCGACACAAGCTCGTTTTCGCAATGCAGGGATTTGAGATGCCATATGTTTGCCGAACGTCAGATAGTTTACTGAAGTGGAAGTTTCCCAGTTTAAACTCAGTGGATTTTTACCTCCAGGTGGGACGCTAATGACTGTCTCTATCACGTTCTAAGTTTTGGGATGTTTGCTTTCAGAGATCAGGGGATACTTTTACTTTGTCGCTGTTAGAGAAAGGAAATCATCAAGTGCTCCCGGGAGCTTCAGTAAGTTTTGATGGTAAGTCGCCTGGCAAGTGCGCGGCGATCCTGATTCTCGGCTTGACAGACTCGGTTGATCCCTCGACGCTGGAGAACAAGGTGATCGAGTGCTCGTGGAACAACGAGAGGCAATCCTGGGAATTCATGCGATTGAGGCCGGACAAGCCGCTTGCAAACGCGTTCAACACGTATAGAAAGGTTTGCGCGCTAAGCTGAGCCAGCGGGGTTTCTTACGCATTCTTGGCATGTTGATCTCAGGTATTCAATAGCATCAAGGACAACATCACACAGGAAGAGCTAGTTGAGGAGATCGACAGAACGGTCAAGCTCCCCATGTACAAAGAAAAGGACAAACAGTTTCTGAAGTAAGTTTAGCTGACTTGTCCGCGCAGATGGAGGAGAAACTATACATTTATGTTGTTCAACCAAAAGCTTAGTAGTTAAAAGAATGGTGTTGATTACCATGAAGTTTCCTCTCAAAGTGGAGACTCAACACGTAATTAGATCATATTCAGTTCTCATTGTTTTCACGTGTTCGTGTAGCAGAATCTTTGAATATCAAGTTGACAATTATTTGCAGCACACAGATCTCTGCAAGCACTCTTCCGGAAGTGTCGGCCAATCATGTATCTGAAGCTGGGACTAGTGCCAAGCATTGTTGTCTCCAGTCCAGGACAATGATTTGGTCTAGTTTGATAATTTTCTATGCTCTGTTATAATTGCTTTGACAACGTCTTCCCCTCCAGAGCCTTCCTCTAGTATGAGTTCTCTAGCATGACACCCATGAAATCCTTGGGACCCTGACGTGATTCCTTATGCTCCTTGAGTATTTTCTGCAAGAATTGTCTTGAATCTCATATAGCTTCTTGAATTGACGGATGCCACTCAAGGTAGGCTGGAATAAACTCAGTAATGTGGAACTTGGCACCCATGCTTAAGCTCTGGAGTATAGATCTCTGGGACTCTATGGATTTTTTGTCTACTTCTGGAAGCATCACCAAAAAATCTCTTGCTCATCAATATATGCGTTGAATGTGAAAGTTGACAGTCTTGAGCTCTCGCAAGTTTACTGCCGCTTTCCTATCATTCGGTTCTAGCAAAACACGAAAGACTCTTGACAGATCTCACCCAAGAAAAAGAATCTATTCTCTGCTTTGTAACTTGGCAAATCTTTCGCAGCCACTTTGTAGAGGCCATATCTTTTGATCAATGAGCTCGTTGGCTACAACAATGTGGGAATTGGAGTGCGCTATGGTGAGCCGAAGCAAATGCCAAGCCAACATGCCAACATTTTGAGCCAGACAAGCTGCTTGCAATCGCGTTCAACATGTATAGAAAGGTTTGCACGCTAAGCTGAGGTAGCTGGGTTTCTTATGCATTCTTGGCATGTTGATATGGTTTAGTTTGATAATTTTCAAACAGGCGTGCTTATCAAAGTAGAGGTAAGTCGCAGCTACAGTTTTCTTATTAGGCATCTGGGCTTTTGTGGTCCATGCCAGTGCAAAAAACAAGTAGCTCAGTGGAGTACAAGGCACAAACTATTTCATTAGGTCAGGCTCGTGGACAGTTCTCTCAGCTACTTCGCGAGTTAAATTTTCAGGAGTGCATCTCGGATAACAAGTCTTCTTCATCAGTTGCAGATTCTGAGTTTAGGCATTTAGAGCTCAACATGGAGCAGCTAACAATCCACTTTCTCCAGCACGCCATGAACTTGCTTATGTTTAATCTTGCTTCAGGTTTTCTTCCACATGATCACATTGAAAATTTCACTCGGTATTGTGCCTAATCGTATCTTGACTGATATGGCACAGTATTTGGAGTTTGCAAGGTTGTTGGTGGGGAAACCAACAAGCCTGGGTGAGGGTTTTGGCAAAGGATGAGTGTGAAGACTTCCCCACATTGTTTGTTTTGTTTTGAAGGCATAAGATGGTGGTGTGTGGAAAATATTCTACTATATCCAAGCAAAGGCCAATATTTCAGCAAAAGGCAAATAGCAGGAGGCAAATAGCAGGGGCAAAAAGCAAAGATTTTTGGATGTATACTAGTAACCTGTAGACAGGAGTTGATTATTGTTAGTAGAGGGTAAACCTAACAACCAAAAAGATCATGGCACTGAAGTGAGAAGCACTTAAATAAGATGTCCTAAATGTTGCTGGTGAAGCCAAAAATGGTGGTGTCGGCTGGAAAATGTTCTGCTATCAGGAATAACAATACTCACAATCTCATTGTTATGAACTTTGATTCAATGCTAATTAAAAACAGCTCTATCAAAAATAATGTTGGCCACAAATTCCTTTGCTTCATAAACCAGCCACTGATGGCAACCTCAAGAAGCTAAATGAGCCTGGATTCCAAAGCAATATACCCATAGAGAAAAGATGTGTAAAATGGATATAGCACCAGCCAATATACAACACCACCATCTTTGGTTTCAACCCATTCTTTGGCATCATCTTCTTTATTGTAATGATCTATTTTGGTTGTTAGGTTTATCCTTTGCTAACAATAATTAATCCATGTTTACAAGTTTGCCTTTTGATTGTAATCTCACTATTTGCCTTTTGCTGCATTTATCCCAATCCCCTTAATCACTTAACTGCCCTAATTTCCTGGGTTTAGCACTTTGTCATTCCGGCAGCTGATATATGTAAATATGTCACTCTGTACATCTACTAGATCAATCAATGATCCAGTTTCATCCATACAAACACTTCTTTGTCATAAATTCCTTCTCCTGCACAGTTAAAGTGGTGGAATGCAACACCATTAATTTCTTTTGTACTGACTCTACACAGGATTTCTCCCATCTAGAATCATCTGTCCATAATGCACTTGGGATCCACCAGTTTGGAGATATAGTGAAGATCTCAAATACCTTACAAAATGAAGAAAACAACATGGGAAGTCCTCACACCCATCCTCTGTCAAAGCTCTCATCCATGCTTGTGCTTTCCCCACCAGCCACCTCGTAAACTTCAAACACTATGCTGTGTCTGTCAAGATATGATTAAAGGCACAATACTGAATGAAATTATTAATGTGATAATATGGAAGAAACCCTGAAAACATAAGCAAATTCATGGTGTGCTAGAGAAAGTGGATTGTTAGGTGCTCCATGTTGAGCTCCAAATGCCCAAAGTCAGAATCTGCACCAATGAAGAAGACTCACTATCCAAGATGCAATATAGCTCATGACACAATAGGATACAATGGTGCCACCATTTTTACCATCACTCTAGTTGCCCATGAGATCTCTTTGATGCTGAGGTCTTAAATTCTTTCAAAGAGAACAACAATGTGAGTGGCCTTAGCATCAAACCTTCGTGTAATTCTTGTTCTACCTATAAGTATTGAAGAGATTTGACTCCCATACATACTCTGACAAGTGGTGAGAAAACAAAAAGGACATTTGCAGCACTTCTATGCTATGATTTGGGTAGAAACAGTGGCCTACTCTATATTATACACTTGGAACTAGAGATAAAGATTGGCAAGACATTTTAATTATCTATTGAAAAACTTAGATTAGCAAAAGATTTTTTAACTTCTTGACCCCGTTAAAAGTCCAGTTTCTTTCTTTGTAGCTTGCGTTTTCATCTGAGGGTTTCGGATCACAGGTCCAGAACTTGAAAAAAATATATGATGAGGCTGAGCGTTTCGGGTCACATAGAGGTCCAGAACTTGACAGAATATGTGATCAGACATAATCCGTCAAGTCCTAGACTCCTAAAACTTCAGAGCGAAGTTTACAAATCAACAAGCTTTAGGTTTTGCATGATTGAAAGTCCCCCTGTCGGATCGCATATAAAATTTATATTTCTTTGCTATTCCTTTTTCCTAAACCATGGATGAAATATTTTTTTACTTTTGCCCTAAAAACAGAGATTAGGGCTTTGCTTGAGATGGGGAGTGCTGTCTATGGCGGCATTGCGGTGAGTAGGATCCGGGGAGTCGCGGCGGCCGTCGGCAGCGGCAGATTCAAGCCGGAGTCTTCGATCTACTGCAAATGCCGGGCTTACAATGGCGACGGGAGCAGTGGGAATGGCGGGAATGGTGGGAATGGAGGCGACAAGAGGCCCCCCCAGGATGCGCTTCTCAGGGCGCTCTCAGGTTTTGTTTCTGGCGATTGGTGTGTGGTGGCTGGGATTGAGCGAGTTTTGGATTCGCAGAGGTGTCCAAGCGCGATGGTCGAGTGGGGAAGACTCTCAATGTCGTGATTGGAGGCTATCTTCCTGAGGATCAATGGAAGGCATTGGACGAACGGGTATGTGAGAATGAAAGAAAGAAAAGCTTGCAGTCTAACAGCCTCTTTAAAGCTTTGCACCAGGTGAATCTCTACCCGATGGTGAGGAGATTCACAGCGATTGGGAGAGGAGGCGACGATTTCGCGCAGGCGATGGTGGTTGCCGTGGAGACTGTTCTTCAGTCTCCAATTCCACGGGTAAAGTTTCGTGTTTTTCCTTTCTCTTTTCTTACGAAAGATGTTTGACACAGGCCTGGGTTTCCAAGAGATTGTCGTCCAGAGGCAAGTATATATCCGTGAGAATCGGCCCCGTCGTGGTGAATTCCGGAGATCAAGTAAGTGAAACGTTTCCAGCGCTAGAGAAGGAGCTTACCATCCATAGATTTTTCTTCTTCCAACAGGTTCGAGCTGTCTATAACGCGATGAGACGGGACGTGCGAATGAAATACTTCTTGTAGCTCTTCGATCCATTTATAAGAATCCATCCCAAGTAAGATCCATGCTTTATTTTTTCTCGTCCATTTTGTTTTTCCATCCATTGTTTGATCGTAATTCCTTTCTTCTTTCTTTAACAGGGAGCCTCGCGCATTCGTTTGAGTTGTACATAGAAAAAAAAGAAGCTTTCGCTCGCTTGGATGGAATTGAACCGGCGACCTGGAGAGTCTGACAAGTGTCGCAACCGCGTATCGCTAGATCAGCAGTCAATGTGGAAACCCGGCATTTCAAATTTGCTCGATAGGGTTCCAAGGCTCTTCCTCTTTTCCACGCTCTCTCTCACGCGCAGTCCACCGATCGATCGATCAATCAATTCGAGCTCCGGATCACGCCAGGTGTGCCTTTGGTCTTTTCTTCCTCCTGTGGCAGGGATTTCACTCAGGGAATGCGACTGGGATTGTCGCGGCCATGACAGTGGAGGTGGTTGTGGAAAATGGAGGCGCCGAGGCGTCGCCGGCGGCCAAGATTGTCACGCTGGATGTTAAGCGGCAAGGCTCTGCCGAGATTAACGTTACTCCCAATCCTTCCATGGAGGATGAGGGCGATAGGATCGATCTAGTCAGAGATTCCGAAGGGAGATGGGTCGTGCGGTGGTGGAAGGCTCGAATTTCACGGCCTTTCATGCTTATCGTTCGCAGGTAGAATTTTCTTTTCCCTTTTTTGTTCCTCTTTTGATTGTGGATTTCCAGAGGAACTGAGCCCAGGCAACTTGCCTTTTCTGCCGCTTTAGGCGTGACACTGGGAGTTTTCCCGATCTATGGTCAGTTTTTTCTTCACGATCTCTTTGACTTGGCCTAGAAAGGGAGAAAAAAAATTGTTCGTGCTGACTTTAATTGGCTCTTTGTTTTTGTAGGTGTGACGTTATTTTTGTGTGCGATCGCAGTTTGCGTTCTCAGATCCAGATGCCACGCTCCAACTTTGATGCTCACGAATTTCGTTGCTACTCCACTAGAGCTCGCGTGAGTGCTAAAAAATCATACTTTTATATATTCCCTGTCTTCTATCTCTTACTTCGCGATGCTTTTCAGGCTGTTGATCCCTTTCCTGCGGCTGGGAGAATGGCTAACGAACGGTGGACACATAATGCTCTCGTCCAACGCTCTCTGGAAGGCCGTTACTGGAAAAGCCACCAAATCTATACTTTTAAGCCTTCTCCATGCGGTAAACACAACGATGGATCACATTTTTAAGCGAAGATGTGTGATGTCTCATTCGTTGGGTAGCTGACTCCACTTAACTGTTTATTACAGCTTGTTGGCTGGGCTGTCGCAGCACCTGCGATCATGGCCCTCCTGTATTTCTGTTTCTTGCCCATATTCAGCTGTTTGATCCGGAGATACGGAGCAAAAACAGACCCCGGTCTTCAGATTGGACTTCTCGAAGAGGAAGAGCAGTCGAGGTGAGCCTGTGATTTTTCTTGCGAGCTAACAATTTGTTTATTCCAGGGATACTTCAAGCTATCGTTTCTCTTCACTAGGAGCTGATTCGTCCTCCTCGTCGGTGCCTTTCTCTGGTGCCGCTGGCGGAGGATTAACCAAGAGTTGAAGACCATAGAGCGCCAATCCAATGGCGTCGGCAGCGAACACAAAGGTAGCGAGGTAACATATCCCACTTATAATAGTTCTGCATGAGACGAGAAAACAGAAAGAACGGTTTCGAGAGTCAGTGACAAGGAAGAACTCAGGTACGAAAGAGTACCTCACAGTCACCGCAATGTTCCTTGTCTGTGGTGATCAAGGCACAAACATGTCAGCGGCAGAAACTTGCATCAAAGTTTTCACTTACAGCATATTCTGTTGGAAGTGGCTTTGAAGCGAAGGAGCCGGTCACTGCCGTGGTGCACTGGTAGAGCACAAAAGCTATGGCGCCGGCCAAGAGAGCTCCATACAGGGTCTGCTCAAACGATGGTGGTGGCTTCTCCACTACCTGGTTGGCGAGGCTAGCGAGCACATTCTGCTTCGCCTGTTCCTTCAAAGGTTTCTGGAAAAAAAAAAAAAAATCTTCTAAAGTTTGCTGTGAAAAACAGTGTAGGAGAAGAACCTTCTCTTTGGCTTCTTTGTATCGTCGTCTCAACGAGCGGAGGAGAAGAACCGAGATGGCACCAGTGAGAACGACGCTACCTGCGATTTGGAGTGGCGAGGTGGGCTGCTCCAAATCGCCGGGGAGCTCAATTGGGCCGTCGAGAGAAGACGAGGCATCAGCGATGGCCTGCTCGGCAACTTGAGCTATTTGCTGGTGGAGTCTCAATGCCCGAAGAACTCCTCCTCCTCCTCTCTCGCTCCTCGTCAAGCTTGCCGAGAAAAAACGAGAATCTGGAGCGAATGCAAAAGACCCACCACAGTGTAGGAGCAATCCCAGGCTCCCACTGCTCATTTTCTATCTAGGTAAGAAGGTCTTTGATATTGATTAGATAGAACTTTAAACATTAGATAGAAAACGAACTTCTACGAGGTAATCTTAAGATCATTGTCTAGCAAGTTTTCCAAGTAGTTAACTTCGAGGCTGGCATGGGCTTCCCACTGTTCCTTCCTGATATCACAAACAACACGAAGCAGTCGAGGATTTTCCTTCACCTGGTCTGGATCCAAGTCAGTGCCACAAATCCTGGCTCGCTTGCGAGGGGGATACCACGTGATCATATCATCCATTCCATATCTCACACCTCTGCGCAAGTGATCTCTCCTCGCTTCCACCAGATATCTGAGAGCTTCGGTCGCCGCCGGAACACCAAAGCTCACCACTCTTTGCACCAATCCACACTCCTTGTAGAGTAGCTTCCATATTACGTGGATCCGAACGACGAGCTGGTCAACCATGGCTGCGATCATTCCCTCATCTCCAAACCACAGCACTGCCTCCACAAACTCTTGGAACTTTTCGCTCATGCCTTGCAACTTGGGCTTCTTGCTGCCGTTGTACTCGACCAAGGCCTTGTCCTCCTCTCCATCAAACACTTGTTCCCATTCGAGAACGTGTAAACATAGGTCCTTGAACAGCCTTGCCATATTTTTGTTCGTCTCCTTCAAGCCTATGAAACCGGCCGCGTCTTTCATCCCTGCTATCACCGCGACTAGTTCCACATAATTCCGATCCCGGGCGCAGTTGAATGCCACTTCATATGACACAAGCTCCCTTGACAAGAGGAATGCTGCCAGAAAAGGTTCCCCTTGCATATTTCCCGGATCGATGTAATTAGGCAAAAGACTCTGGAGCTTGGATGCAAAAGCTGTTGCCAAGTCGTGGGAGCCGTATCCTGCCACCTTAAGAATCATCCGTGCCACAGGATCCAGATTATAGGCTCTAGTATATGTGCCGCTGTTAAAAGCCTTTTCCATGGATCCGATGCGAAGTTCCACAGCTTCGCGATACTCTTCTCGATGCGCAGCCACTGCAATCTTCTCGATTGGCATGTCTTTCAGGATTTCTGTCACCTCGTCCTTAAGCCCATAGCTCAAGCAAAACTCCAAAATCTTAACATCATAGTGCACATGCCGCGCCAACAACTTTGCAAGCTCTAGTGCATCATCCTCACGTCCAACTGACTTGAGCTCCATAACCAGATCCATAGATCTCTCTGATTGAAATCGAAATGAGATCATGCACTTTTTGACATCGTCCCATGGCAACTTAGACATCGCTGTCCAAAACAATGGATGATAATTTCCCCAAGCCTTTACAAGCATCAGAGCATCTTCCTCGAGCCCAGACTTACAGCACAAGTCTAAAACCTGAGCCCAAACCTCAACCTCGACACCGCTGTTACAATTTTGGCCTTGCAAGACACACACCAGGTTGTGCACATCCCTCTTGGCCTCGGTCGAGTCGAGGCGAGCCAAGTGTTTTTCCAGAACTCGTGCGATGAGCGACCTCAAGTTTTTCTTCAAAGAGCTCCAGTTATGCTTCAAAACCTGCAATTTCCTGCTTGCAGGCCAGACCACCAGCGCTGCAACATGAAAGACGTCAACCTCATCGTCGACAACGCTGCTGCTCATGAATGGCTCGTTCTTATAGCCGCTACATGACCGGAGCACGTCTATATCCAAGACGTTCCACCTCCCATAGTCAATTCGGAGGTCATCTGTCGCTGAAACCCAATTTTCAACCCAGTAATTCTCTATCTCCTGCTTTACTCGTTTCGTGAGCGTGCAGAGATGGAGCTCCAGAAAGTCGCAGTTCATAACGAGTGCAGTCACCACACGGTCGTGCCCCTTGAGACCATGAAAGCTCATGGACGAATATGAGTGACCCAGTGGAACCACCATCAAATCCCTTGCACTCGGTGAACTAGTGGCGGCCCAGCGCTGGAGTAGCGACTTGACACGCCCTGATGTGGAGGCGAAGAATGGGAAGTTGTCCACGGAAAGAAAGTTTGCCTTCTTGGCCAGCAATCTAAAAACCAAGCACACCCTTGATCCCTTGGTCACCTCAGCGAGTTTGTTCCTACAACCGCGGAAAAAGATGGCATGGTAGCAATCTGTCCTGGAATGGAAGTTGAATTCCTTGGATGAATCCTCATGCGAGATGGTGAGCTTTCCACCTGAGTGGCCAGATTGGGTGGGGAGCTGGATGATCATGGTCGCTAAGCAAGAACTCTTCATCACAAACATTAGAGGCTCACTACCTGATTCCATGAGAAACATCTCGGAGAGCTCCACTTCCACCTCCATGCCGAGCTGAAGAGCCTGGGCAGCAATGTCGTGGGCGGCCTTTTCCAGGAGATCTGGATTCTCAGGGCACGAGATCTTGGACGCACTCACTCTCCATATCTGGGACCTATAGCACTCAGCGGCTGCCTTGATCTTGTCCAGATCTTGCTGTGGCAAAGGAACATCGACCCTCCCGACGCCTTCCACTGAAAGAGAGGCTGGAATCGTTGCTTCATCGATCTGGCCTCCAGTTGCGAACGCGATCGTGGGCTCCCCACCACGCCAAAGCGCCTGAAGAAGATCGTCCTTGAGCGTCGCCATAAACAAACCCTTTTTGCCACCTTCGTCAGGATATTCTAATATATATTTGTCCTGCACTTATTAGAATATCCTGATTGATATTCTAAATCAAGCTTCATCTTGATTTAGGAAAGGAGGGAGCAAAGCGGTCAACCAAAAGCCGCGTACCTTTGAACATGGACAGGATTTCCCTCCGCTTGGGCTTTTTCAGCGGCGGAGTTGTCACGCCCAAATGCTGCTGCTGCTGCTGCTGATCACAAGTGCTCCTCCGGCGATGATCCTCACCACCATGATCAGCATCGCGTTTGACAGCACCATTCGCAAAATTCCCATCACCATCAACTTCAGTCTTCACCTTGGCTTCGATCACCTCCTGCTTCACGCGAGCTTTTGAGCAACAATCTGCGAAAGGCTGGAAACTGAGAGACCCATCTGCCGCCACCTTGACCTCGAACACACTTCGTTTCGCCCCTGGGCCAGGAACACCACACGGCTGGAAGTTGATAGAACTATTTGCTCCCACCACCACCTCGAAGATACCGGAAACTGGTGCCGCATTCTTGGTCCAACCATTTGTAACATTTGGCTTCACGTCGTGATCATCGACTTCTTGCTTGATCACGTCTTCTTGTTCTTCATCGTCACCCATCTCTTCCTCACCATACTGTCCACGATGGCCATAGAAGTAGGCGAAGCTTTCGTAAAAGCACGGGCGCGAGCGCCTCTCTCGCAGCCGCTGGAGCGAATCATCAAACAGCTGGTCGTAATCCATCATCTTAGCAGCCTGTGGCGATGATCCATGAGAAAGCACCACATTGTCCACACATCCCAGGCGGATCTCCTCGCCCTTGGTCCGCTGATCCGGCAAGAGCTCCCCCACCTCCACATTCCTGTAGCAAGCCCACGATTTGACGCTCATGAGCCTCTCCATCACCACCACCTTCTCTGGAAATCCCCCTGCGCAGTAGAGGTCGCGCACGATCCAGCTCTGCTCCTCGCGACTGATCCGCGAGACCTTGTCCAGCGGCAGCCGGAAGTGGACGATGAGCCGCTGCATGGCCTCGAGATTGCAGTCGTTGTAGCGCTCGTACTCCGCGATCGCGGCCCGGCACTGCGACTCCGTGAGGGATTCGTGGCCCTCGCGATCGATGGCGCCCACGATCAGCAGCATCTGCTTGGAGTAGCCCCAGGGCAGCGAGCCAGACGTCCAAGAACCAACACTGCCGCCCAATCTATCGGAGATTGTGGCATTGAGCTCCACCCGGGAGGAGAATCCATCCCACCAGAGCTCCGGCTTCACGCCATGGAATCCAGCGTACCAGGCCTGCTTGCGACTGGGGAAGAATCGTGCGTCCACCATCGCTGCTTGTATCAAACCCTAGGGGCGCATTTTGTAACTGGTTTTATATCTTGGACACGTGGATTGATGACGTGGCGAATCCAAGGGTCGCGGCTTTAAACTCTTTGACTGTCGATTTAGGCGCGAAAAAGGAGAGAGCGAGAGAGAGAAGCGATGGTGCGACCGGCGAGACCAGCTTCTACCAATGCTCCATCGCTCATGAGGCGGCGGAGGAGGCGCCGAGGAAGAAAAGTAGGGTCATCCACTCCAATTCCTTGAACTCTTCTCGATTGATTGGATTGAACTCGCCAAAACGACCATGACATTGTTGGAACTTGGGAAATTGCAGAGACGCAGAAGAGGACACAAGAAGAGATCGGCCTCCACGAACGCTGGAACGAGGACCCAGCAGGGATAGATCAAGATCGATCGATCAAACACTCCACCCACACAATGATTGGTCACACATGAATAAAAAAACGCTCCTCCTTCCTCTTTAAAGACGATCTCCTCGAGTTTTCCAAATGAGATGACTTGAGCGCTTAGCGCTGCATTCTAGAAATCTGAAGATTTGAGACGAGCGAAGAATGGAAAATGGTGACGTTGTGCTCTCGTGATCTTCCCTGGCAAATCTTTATCTTTAATCTTTCATTCCAGAAAATCAGAAAAAAAGGTTGGAGATGATCGATAGATGCAACAAAGATGGAAACTGGCGGCTCTAATAAGAAGTTGTGGCACTGTTCGTGAGCTTTTGGACATCAAACAACGCCTTCTGTTAGACGCCACTGACACTTTTCTCTCGAATTTAATCGTTTCGACGTTTGGAAGGCTGGGACAGATCCAAGATGCAAAGAGGTTTTTCGATTCGATGCCCCACAAGAACGCCTTTTCGTGGAACATTCTTCTTCAAGAAAATGCCCGAAACTGGCATTTTGATGAAGCACTGATTACTTTCAACAAGATGCCCTTCAAGGACGTCGTTTCGTCCACGATTGTATTGAAAATGCTTTGCCAGATTTTAGGCTTGGGAGAAGCTAAGAAGTTCTTTGAATCACTTCCACAAAGGAATTCCGTTTGCTGGAACGTTATAGTTGCAGCAAGTACCCAAATCTCGGATTTCGGTAGCGCTGTCAAGCTTTTGCAAAAGATGCCTGCGTTAAGTCTCGAGTCTTGCACTGCTGTTATCCAAGCGTTCCTCACGTCAAGCGAGAGCTCTTTGTACGAACAAGCCAAGTCACTGTTTGATGAAATGCCAGAGAGAGATGTGGTGCTCTGGACCGCCATGGTTCAAGGATATGCCCAAGGCGGGCATATCGCAAGAGCTCAAACACTATTTCACAAAATGCCATGCCACGACGTGATGGTCTACTCCGCACTCCTAGAGCTGTGCTCCACCCTGGAAGAACTCAAACGCTTGTTTGATGCAATGCCCGAGAAGAACTTCGTCGCCTGGACGTGTCTTCTGCAAGCGTCTGCTCATCACAAACACGTAAGAGAAGCAAAGCTTGTGTTTGATCTGTTTCCATGCCACGACGTGGTTTCCTGCACTGTTCTTCTCGAGGCCAGTATTCTCTCGGACAGAATTCAAGAAGCAAAATCACTCTTTGATGCAATGCCACGGAGAAACAGCGTGTGCTGGAACGCCCTCTCGTCAAGCTATGCCCAAGCCGGGTATATGGCAGCCGCCGTGGAAGTGCTAAGAAAGATGCCAGAGTCGACAGCGGCGTCCTTCGCGGCCATGATCACTGGATTCGGAGTCGCTGGTTGCATCGGCGAGGCAAAATCCATCTTCGACATCTCCCCGGAGAGAATGCAATCGTCTTGGAACGCTCTGATGCACTGCTGCAAGAGCAAGGGAGTCGAAACTCTCGAGACCATCTTCCACAGGATGCCGTGCTGGGACCTCTTCGGCAAGAACATCTTGCTGCTGGGATATGCACAGAGTGGGCATATCAAAGCGGCCTCCGAGCTCTTCCACTCCATTCCCGACAAGGACACCGCCTCCTGGAACTCGATGCTCGCAGCTCACGCTTTGCATGGAGATCTCGAGTCGGCATCGTCCACTTTCGCAGCTCTCGCTCGCCCGGACTTGCTGTCGTGGAACTCCATGCTCGCAGCTTATGCTCGGAGTGGAGACTCCCGAGCAGCGATCCATCTCCTCCAAAGAATGGTTCTGGAGGGTGACACGCCTGATGAAATCTCCTTCCTCAACGTCCTTTCCGGAGTCACTCACAGAGGCCTTGTCGACCAAGGCCTCCTGCATTTCCAGTCGATGAGGAGTGACTTTCGCCTGGAACCGAAAGTGGAGCACTACACCTGCGTCCTCAATCTCCTCTCTTGCTGCGCGAGTCGAGAAGATCTGGAAGTTTTGATCGATACCATGCCTTGCCTTCCTGGAAGCTTTTCCTGGAGATCTCTCCTGTCCGCTTGCCAGAGCTTCCAGACCGGCGATCAAGCGGCAGCACGGCTCCTGGAGATGGATTCCAACAATGCCGCAACTCTCGTGATGCTGTCCAACATGCTCAAACTTCCGGCTTGATGATCGTAGATCTCTTCCTGAGAGCTCGGGCTTTGGAGGACCTCGAGTACCCGAGCTCAGCATGGATGTTTGACAGCAGCACGTATGAAGAGGTGTCGAATGGAGCCAGCTGCGTAACTTGCTCCGCGGCCACTCCTCCAAGCTCGGTGTCACAGTGGATCTTGCAAGCGCTCAGCAGAGCTCTCCACACGACGTCGTCCACTTCCAAGCTCTTGACAAGGATAAGCTCCTCGGCCTCCTTGAGCCACCCCGCTCGACCGAGAAGATCGACCACACACGCGTAGTGTTCCGCTGTTGGAGCGAGCCCGTAGTCCAGTTTCATCGACCAGAGGTGCCTTTGTCCGACTTCCATCCGTCCCGCATGGCTGCAAGCAGCCAGGACGCACGTAAACGTCACCAGGCTCGGCTTCGTCCCGTCCAAAACCATCTCCGTGTAGAGGTCGAGAGCTTCCAGCGGACGAGCGTTTCTCGCATACGCAGCAACCATCGTTGTCCAAGTTATCACGTTCCTCGTCTTCATCTTGTCAAACATGGCCTTTGCAGCGTCCACGCTTCCACACTTCCCATACATGTTCATCAGCGAGTTCTCGACGAGGAACGCCGAACCGAGTCCCTTGTCGACAATCCGCTCGTGGAACTTCCTGGCATCCTGGAGCGATTTCACCTCGCCATAGGCCCCGGCAACCATAGCCAGAGTTATCGGAACCGGAGCCACACCCTGCCTCTCCATCTCCTCGTAAGTTCCAATCACCTCGAGAGGACACCCGTGCTGTGCACAGGCCGAGATCATTGCTGTCCAAGTGATGAAGTTCTTCTCTGGCATGGTATCGAACATCTCCTTTGCATCCTCGAGACGGCCACAGTTGGAGTACATGGTGACAAGCGCATTGTCCGTAGCCAGTGTGTGAGAGCCTGTTGCTGTGATATGAGCGTGGATCTCTCTGGCCTCCTTGAGACTGCAACAAGCTGTGACGATCGTCGGAAACAGCATAAAGTCGGGATCCACACCCTGTCTCTTCATTTCTCGATACAAATTCATAGCTTGCCGGTCGAAGCCTCTCCGAGCGTAGGCTGTGAGCATGGTCGTCCAAGAGCTCATGTTCTTGTGCTCAGTTCCATCAAAAACCCGCCTCGCAACCTCCAAGTTTTCACAGTTGGCGTACATTGCCACCAGTCCGTTCCTCACCCCGACGTGATTGCCAAAACCAGTTGCTATGGCGCGAAAGTGAAACCATCGGCACTCCTCCTGGCTCTCACAGGCCCCGAAAACGCTGGTAAAAGTCACCCAGTCCTGGACGATTCCATTCAAGTCCATCGTCCAGAAAAGCCTCATAGCCTGCCTCGTATACCCGTTCTGAACATAAGCTCCGATCATCGTGTTCCACGAAACGACGTCCCTCTCCTGGCTCTTCTCGAAACAGTCCTCCGCAAGCTCTACACTTCCACACTTGGCGTACATGTAAACCAGAGCGTTCTGGACCTTCATGTCCGAGTCCCATCCACCGTCAACGATCCTCCTGTGGATCTTCTTCCCAGTCTCCAAATCGCAGCAAGCACCGAGAACGCAGGCAAACGTTGTCGTCGTTGGTTCAATGTCCATTGCTTCGTATAGCTCAACAGCCTCTCCGAGATGCCCACTCTGGGTATAAGCCGAGATGATAGAGTTCCAGGAAACCACGTCCTTCTGGGCCATACTATCAAACACTTTCCTTGCATCCTCGAGACTCTGGCACTTGGAGTACATGTTCACCAGCGCGTTCTGGACGACCCGGCTCATCTGTGAATCAGTTGCCAGCATCTTCTGGTGAATGGCTTTTCCTTCTGGCAAAGCTCCCGGACCACAGCAAGCTCCGAGAATCCGAGAGTAGGTATGTGAGTCGGGATCTTCCATCGAGTGAAACAAACTCAAGGCCTTGCTGTGATAACCGTGCTGGATGAACGCACTGATCATGAAGTTGAATGTGATGGGCCGTTTGCACGGCATCCTCTCGAAGATCTGACGAGCGTCTTCCAGGCTGCCGCAGCTGCTATACATCTTGATAAGCTGGTCACCCAAAACAGCGTTGCTGCCAAACCCAGCCTCTAAAAGATGAGCGTGGACGAGCTTTCCATGGGCCAAACTCTTGGAGCTGACACACTGCTGCAGTAGAGAGACGTAGCCGCTGACTCGGTTGATGCGTTGCTTCAAGGCGTCTTCGATTTCTCTCAACGCTGGCTTGATCATATCATCCTGATAAAAGATGCCATCACCTCAGACAAAACGTATAGTATCTTTGTGAAAAAACCTGTGTTGTCTTCCTGTCTGTTTCTCAAAACAGGTTGATGCCAAAAATCTCTCCAGCCAAAATCGAGAGCCCGACTGCGATAGCTATCAGCGACGAGCCCAGTGACAGTCTCTGAGTTATCCACGGGACCCTCTTCTGCAAGGCCTCGCTACACGAACCAACGAAAGCGGTGTAGCTAGCCATCGCCACCACCGTCCCCAGCAAGAACATGAAAAGAAAAGCCACACCTGCTAGTCGAGAAGGCAATGCCAGCGCTGGAAGAATGACGAGCAAAGCGTCCGGCTGGAGGCCATGGACTACTCCCGTCCCAAAAGTTGCAAATCCAAAAGGCTTTTTCCGCTCCTGAACTCCGCCACTGTCTTCGTAGTCTGCTTCACAGCCCTCCCCTGCGAGGCAAGGGATCGGAACTTCCTGTGCCTCTTTAATTCCCACCGCGCCGATTACGAGAAGAGTGACACCGACAACGCGAGCGCTCCATGTTCTCAAGAGGTCAATGTGTAGCTTCTCTTTGAGCACCAGGAAGAGCAACCCGAAGAGGATCTGGCCAGCGTCATGACCGCAACCCCACAGCGCTCCCACAAAAGCACCTTCCATCTTCGTGCGACCGATTGAGAGAGGTGCCAAAGCAGCAAGGTGGTCGGGTCCTGTGAGAGTGTGTAGACATCCGGCCATGAGTCCCGTCCATGCGCTCGTAAGAAGCTCGGGAACACGAAGTCCTTTGGCTGTAGAGCTAGCAGCGGAGAGTGTGATGGTGGAAGCTAGCGCAGGGGCAGCTCTCAAAAGGATGACTGGCAAAACAACCGGAAGAACCTTCGTGATCTGCCAAGGCAAAGAGAACGAAATCAAAACAAAATATATCCATCGTACAACAAGATCTTACCAGCTTTAAGACGCAAAATTTCTGGTCGATGTGCTCGTTCTCACAGTGATTGTTGCTGACTTGTCCAGGAAGAACAGCTCTTGCAGCATGCCGACTCACCGACCATGGCGAAAGTTTTGGCCGTAGCCTCAGTGCCTCCAAAGATCGAGGAAAACGCCTTCGAGTTCTAGAAATTCGCTGAGACGAGACTGGAAAAGCCCGGATGTGTTCTCCAGGGAGAAAAGTACGAGGATCGTTGAGACAAGGCCGACAAATCTGTGCCATACTTGAGAGAAATCTGGCGCTGAGGAAGTAGCTGGTAGCGAACCTAGGAAATCCTCACCTGGGGACCTCAAAAAGCTCAGATTCAGATCGAAATTCCCTGGAACGAAGCAATGTGAGCATGAAATCCGAGCGCGACGCGCAAAAAAAGGAGAAAAAATACCTTGACGCTACGGGTAGCACCAAGCTAGCGATGAACCCTAAAAACAACCACTACTAACACACGCGTGAAGGAGAGAAGAGGAGGTCAAATTGTTCCTCCTCTCGCAAAAAGCGCATCAAAACCGTTCTTCACGAAACCGTGGCAGCACATCGTGCCGTCCACGTGGGATGCACTTTACGATAGGGGTCATGGATCGCGCAACCGTCGATCCAGATACGCTACGGTGCCGACGGTGTGGATAAATTAATATAAGTATATGTACATCAATCAGAGCCGTCCGATTTGATAGTGGTGACTGGACGGCTCAGATGCGTCAGCCTTGATCTTTGCTTGAGCTCTCGACTTCTTCGCCGACGAGAACGTCGGCGTACGCTAGCTGTGTCAATAGAAGTGTGAGGATGATTCCATACGAGGCAAGTTTCCATGGACGCATTAAGGTTCCTGTTAAGAGGCCTGGAAGTTCCATCAAAGTTCTTGTCAATTGGATCGATTGAGAGAAGGAAAGAAAACTCACCAGAGCCAGAACTGTAAACAAACGAGGCCAGAACAAGGGAGATCCCTCCGGACAAAAACTGCTTGTAACTTGCGCTAAAGTTTCCCGATGGTGAGCTAACTACCAAATCCTGGAGAACAAAAGCAGTCAAGAACTGTGAAGTTCACGAAGAGAATCTTGCGAACCTTTCTAGATGCCTTGGATCTATCCGGAGCACTGTACAAATTCTTGAAGAACAGCCCCTCGTTTCGGAGATGAGCAGACCAGCGCTGGTACTCGTCAATAGATTTGGATTGAGCCTATGTCGAAAGAAAAAAGACATAAGAACAGTGAAAACTTCTACAGTTCTTTACGTACCTCAAGATCGGCACGAGCCATTCGAAGTTCCTCTTCGATTGCACCAGCACCAGCATCAAGCTCCCTAAGCACCTGACACAAGAAAGAAATCTTGATGAGAACCAAAAACCCAAGGACAAAGAAAACCGAAGAATACATACCCGGCTTCCAGCGGCATCGAGCTCTTTCATCGCACGAAACGCAATTCGAGCGTGGTCGTGACGATAGTCTTGCGCAATAGTTTTCATGTACTGCGACCTTTCCTCCACAAATTCCGACATCTTCACCTTGCTTACTTGCATCTGGATCATCTCCACCAGCGCTCTTTGGACCTGGACATCGCCTCCCATTCCATTCCCATCTGAATCGCCATCCCTGGCGCTACATTGAACCATCAGCCTGCTCTTCCTGGATCGGCCGCGGCCAGGGTTGATCACAAACGAATCTAGCGCCGGCACCCTGCATCCCTCTACCTTGAGCAACATCTCGCCACTAGAATCAAACCGAAAAGCGCTAGAATCGCAATGGATCTCTACCACGTCGCGCTCCCGAGCTCCAGGAACCCTAGGCGAGAGGCACGCTTGACACGCAATGCCTCTCTCTTGCGTGTAAAAACGACGCTCACAAGTAAGAAAAGAGGTCCCACCGAGATTCGAACTCGGGCTCTTGGATTCAAAGTCCAATGTCGTAACCACTAGACTATGGGACCATTAATTACTAATAATCACTTCGTATTAGTCCAAACCAAATTTTCTCAAACAAAATACACTCAATCCCAGTATTGGGTTGCCGCAGTAAAACCATATCAAGGAGAAGAAAAAATAAGTAAAGGAGCTATGCTGGGAAACTGGAAAACGAGGATCCCATTTGCACCTTACCACCGTTTGCAAGCGCTTCTTTCTCGGCATTTTTCTTCCTCTTGAAGTAGATGATCCAAGTGAGGATTTCCAGAATGAAGCTGACGATGGCCGCCAGCACCACGAACCCAGTGTAGGCGTTGTGCCACCGTCGCTTGGGCTGGAGGATCTCGAAACCTTTGTAGATGTTTGTGAAGATGAGGATGAGCATGAGGTAGCCGATGGAGTGATGGTAAGCGTTCCAGTAGAGCCTGAGCTTGTGCTCCTTGTTTGGACGAAACGCTACTCCAAAAACCTGGGAAGGAAGTCGCAAGCTCGTAGACTCGTAGTATATCAGCAAAGTTCTTACCTGTAGACAGGCGAAACTAAAGATTGCAATGCCAATGTTTCGATGAACATCATGGACGATCCCTTTGGAGTAACTTCCAAGCCTCAATCCAATGAGCCAGCCAATGGATCCCAGCAGCAAGCCAAGGCTTTGCAGAGATATGTGGACGTAGAACCAAACTTTCTCGGAGAAGGGCCTGGCATAGCGAGCAGTCATCATTCCAAGCGGGAGAAAAATCCCCCATCCAACTGCATTGAGAGCTCCATGGCTCTGGAAGAACAAAGGAAGAACACCAAGCGTAAGAAGAAAGCGAGAGAGCAAAAGAGCTAACCTGCTTGAGACTTTGATGAGGAGGCTCGGTGTTTATCACGGATCTGGTGCTCAGATCGATGACACCAACACCACTGCGATCTTCCGGAGAGAGTCCATGCTGGAGCGGCGAAACTCCAATCGTCTTGGAGCCTCGGTTCCACACATGGTTGATCTTAGTCTGGTTTGGCCGGAGCTGGATGGTGGCAAAGATGGTCACAGTGGTGCCAGTGATCTCCACAGCCTTGTCGAGCACCGAGATATCCAGAGTTCCTGGAGTGAGCTGAGCTCCAGCTTGAATATCAGTGGTGAGCTTGTAAGTGTCCACATAGCTCCTGTCTTGGGTCCTAAAGCCGATCAAGGCATTGGTCCCAACCATCACTGGCCTGCTGCCCAGATTGATCCCCCAGCCCACCCATCCCATGGGGCTCGCGGCTTGCCCCAAGAACGCGACCTTGAGCGTGCTATCGGCTGGATCGTAAGTCCAGGCCAGCGCCGCCGGGCCTGTGAGAGTGTTGCAAGCACCGAAATACCTGGTCTGGCCCTTGTATGTGAACGGCGACGTGCAATCCAGCGCCGCCTCCGCCGCGCGCGCGACGAGGATGGAGAGGGCGAGCAGCAGCAGCACGCGCCTGGGGATCCACATTGCTTCTTGGGAGATCCCGGAAGCTCCAATCCGGCGGGAAGGAGAGAATCCTTGGCAGGACTCGATAAACCCTAGCCTGGCGAGAGCTGCGCCAAACCCTCTGTGGCTCCACGTCTGACGTGCAGGACCACTGCTGCGATCGCCACCGTCCGTCCAGGAGCGTGTAGGATCAAAGTAATTATTTCGCGCCATTGCGTTTTTTGTTGACTAAACAGTGTTGACTAACTCACTTGTAAGAATTCTAGGGCCACCCTGTCCTGACTAAATGACTTATTCCAAAGTTTTGTGATGAAAATTATGGTCAATTCAAGCATGCAAGAACTTAGATATATAAGTATAACGCGAGCTCTTGATCCAAACAACACGGTGAAGACACACAATTCAGAGCTTCTAGATTTCTACTTGATGGAGTTAGCACTCTCTAGTTTCGCGCTTCCTTTTCTTTTGCTAGTGCTCACCGGAGCTCTTAGCATTCTGGTCACTTCGTGGGATAAGAAGAAGAATTTGCCCCATCTCCAGGATGGGCACTTCCATTGATCGGCCACCTTCATCTCATTACGAAGCAGCCACATCGATCTTTGCAAGCACTCTCCAAAAAGTATGGGCCAATTATGTTCTTGAAGCTTGGGATGATCCCGAGCATCATTGTCTCCAGCCCAGAGATGGCGAAAGAAGCTCTCATGAACAATGGCTTGGCATTTGCTTCGAGGCCATATCTCTTGATCTCCGAGATTATTGGGTATGATTTCCAAAGCATTGGGATACACTACAGCGAGCATTCAAGGAGGCTGCGTAAGATGTGTGTGACTGAACTTATTGCTCCCCAGAAACTGGAATCCTCCTTGTGGGTGAGGTTCCAAGAACTCTCGAGAGCGTTTCGTATCCTGCAAAAGTCTAACGAGGAAAAAGTAGCTGTTGACATGAGATATCTCTTCTCAACTTTCACATTCAACGCCTTCACAATGATCCTGATGAGCAAGAGATACTTTGGGGACACCACTGATGACAATGATCAACACAGGGAGATTAAACATGTTATTAATGAAATCTTCAGCCTGGCAATCAAGTTCCACATCACCGAATTTGTTCCATCGTACCTCAGGTGCTTTTTAGAATGGCTCGATCCGACCATCCCTCAGTTCAAGAGATTGCACGAGAGGCAAGACAAGTTCATGAAGAAGATCATCAAAGAACACAAAGAGCCAACCGCTCGTCCCAAAGACTTCATGGACGCACTGCTCGAGAGTTTCAGCGCAGAAGACACAGTAAAAGCGTTTATAACAGTAAGTTCACTCCACATATAAACTTATTCCTTATACCATCGTGGTTGACAGGAATTGTTGCTAGCATCTGATTCAACGGCCGTGGCTGCTGAATGGGTGATGGCACAACTTCTTCACAATCCTCATGTTTTGGAGAAAGCTCAATTCGAGCTCAACCTTGTCGTGGGTCCAAATCGCCTGGTTCAAGAGTCTGATTTCTCAAAGCTGGAGTACCTTCAAGCAATCATCAAGGAAACCTTGAGGCTTTGTCCTCCAGGTCCACTCCTCATTCCTCGCAGCTCTGACGAAGCTTGCACGATTGGTGGCTACTACGTTCCCAAAGGCTCAACACTCTTTGTCAATGCTTTCGCCATTGGACGCGATCCAAGTATCTGGGAACGCCCCACAGAGTTCATGCCCGAGAGATTCCTTGGGAGATCAGTGGATTTCAAGGGCCAGCACTTTGATCTCATACCATTTGGATCGGGGCGGCGGATGTGTCCTGGAATGCCACTCGCATTAAAAGCGCTTGAGCTGCTCTTGGCTAACCTTGTCCATGGATTTGATTGGAGCTTCCCTCCCGGAGAGATCCAAACTCTTGAGGATTGCTTTGAGACGACGCTGCTGCTCAAGTCTCCTCTAAAACTCCTGGCAGTTCCAAGACATTCAGCGTCTGTGTATGCTGAAATCTGAAATCTGAAATCTGAAATCTGAACTGATACTGTTAAATAACGTGGACGTTCTTAGCTCTGTTTAGCTCCTTCATCTCTCAAAGGCTCCGTCAGGACTCTTTGCGCAAGCAAGCTTCCACATCTAGTGTGCTGTTCGCCACTATTACCACGGAAAGCCTTCAGCAGCAGCTTGCTTTCAAGGCTTCCAAAGGTATTCAGAAGTGCAAGTTTACTTGATGTCTGGAAAGAGATGAGGTCGCGAATAGCGCATTGCATCATGCTGTTGACCACGCCAATCGATTCCACAAACAAAATTCATATAATCTGGGCGACGGATTCATCTGAAATACCAAGCAAGCAAGCGGCCATTTGAAATTTCTACGTAGTTCTCGCTTTCTTTATGCTTTTTTCTTTACACAGCGCCAAGGAAGCTTGCAAAGAGAAAAAAAATGCCAATGTGGAGCTCGCCGCCAGTGACATCGAGCGAAACTTACTCGAAACTTGAATTTTTCTCTAGAGGATAATGCTCTTGACTGACTTGGCACATGGATTTGATTGAAGCTTCCGGGGAGATCCAAACTCCTGACGCTTCCTGTCGGAGCAGGGCGCTCATTTGTCTCGGGGGCTTCCGACCCATCCCAACCTGTGAAACTTAGCATATCCTCTTGTTCATTCTAGGGCAAACGCGTAGATGAGCGCCTTGGCTTGTTCTTCTGGGACTGGAGACCCAGCCTCTTTGAGTTCAGCCATGAGTCCACGAAGCTTGCTGATATAGGTCGTGACAGAGTCTTGTTCAAGAACTTCTGGGCAAGCATGACTTTGGCATTCCCTGAGAAGATAGAGAAGTCAATTTGCATTTTTCATGAGATCGAGCAAGCGCATGTATTCGTCGCCCAGTTGCCTTGCGATGGCGACTCTCCCATGCCAGTTGAAGCGCGAGGTTGACAGGTTTAAGCTCTGTTCCGTCCACGATACCCCAACAATCCTTGGCAAGTAGGATCAATTACACCACCATATTTCATCTTTCAAAGTTGTTCCCATGAATTCTGATTCTGGATTCGCAGGAGGTGGGGGAGGAGGAGGGTAAAAGCCATTGTTTAGAGACTAGAGTGGAATCTAGTAAGGAGGTGGAGAAGGGGATGAGGCTCCATCCTGCACAGATGTTAGAGTAGCGAGGGCATCACTGCATTCGTTCCCTCCTTTTGCACTCCTGGGTTCCGTGTTCCACTCTCGCAAGTGTTGCCCAACATTTTGAATTATATTGAAATATTTTTGGAAGGTATTCAAGAATATTCTGATTAGTACACAAAAATAAGTTTTCTAAAATATTTTGAAAAATTATTATACTCATGAATAAAATTATTTTGTATTAGTTGTTTGTTATTAAGATTTTTAATGAGATAAGTTATTTTACAAGAGAAATTTTATGTATTATATTTATTTCCTAGAAAGTTGAGATTTTTTTAAAAACTTTATTCTATCTAAAGTCAATAGTACATTGCAATTAAAAAAGAAAATTATCTTATTATGTATGAATTGACCTAAATTTATAATGTTTTTCCCATTATTACATACATTGAATGTCTCAAGAGAGTCATACAACTTTTCCATTAGTACCTGAATAAATATAAAATTTTGCTATAAAAACTGAGTTAGTTGATTGTTAGAGAAAAAATTTATTGTTTTTTTGTTAGTGATCATTTGAATTGTTAATACACAGTTTGCTAGCCCTCAAACCCAAGTGCCTCATGTAGTTAAATTGATTGATGAAGATTCATATGAGTACAAAGCTTTTACATATTTCCCATACCATCTCATTGTTATGCCAGACCAGCATTATCTTATAGATATTCTCAGCCATAGTATAGAGCTCTCACTATACTTCTAAGGTGTTATATGATAATTGTAACCCAAAACCTCATTCTTAAATTTTCAAAGATTTCAACTATGGTTACGTGGGAAATAGTTTACTAGAACTTTTTGGACTTTTATTGAAAGTGCTTGAGTTGCTCTTGACTTTGTCCATGGAAATTCTAACTCATCTTACTCATGCTTTTGAGTTAGTTATGGATTTCTATCCGTGATTAAATTTAGCTAACTTTGGCCATGGATACTTTAGCTCATCTTACTTTTGAGTTAGTTGTGGATTTCAATCCATGATTAAGTTAGGCTCTACATCACTTTAGTTTAGGGAGATTGGACCAAATTAATTTTCAAAACCCTTATTTATTATTGTTATTGTTAATTTTTTTTAGTATTTTATTAATACTATCATTGTCTTCCCTCCTCTCGAATATTAACTCTTGATAAACATATGCCAGTGTGGAGCTTGTTGTCAATGATATCAAAGCGCCCTCCACTACCACCCTCAGTTGCTAACCATAAAATTTTTTGGTGGATACTTTTCTCGCAAACTCTGAATTTTCCTCCAAATTTGGTATATGAATCAGTGGTTAAAAAATACTTTTTGGTACATTTTTTTATCCAGAAGGGTAGGAGATTTTATATTTCATGTGTACCTTGCTACAAGAAAATTTCTACTCAAACGCTTTGCAAAGAAGTTTGCAAGGAGAACAAATGCCACTGGAGCTTGCCATCAGTGACATCAAGCCATGCCATTGCCACCGTCACATTCTTTCACTTTGAATTTATTTAGTGGAAACTTCTCTACTCCAAACTTGAATTTTCCTCCTGCTGCTACTAAAGTCATGGCAATTACGTATGATTATACTGTTAATCATCTGAAATCAACGTTGGTAGTCTGCATGCATACATGGGTACTAATCAGATCAAGTTTGAATTATTCAGGTCTCAAAGTTTAGTCTGAAATGCTAAGATAGAATCTTCAAATCTAAAGATGAAAATTATGCCACAGTACTTTGCATCGGGACTTCGCATATAGTAGAACCTTGTCGTGGGGCCAAACCGCCTGGTCGAAGAGTCCGATTTCTCAAAGCCCGAGTATTTTCAAGCTATTATCAAGGAAACGATGAGACTTTGCCCTCCAGCCACTCCTCCTCCCTCGCAGCTCTGGCAAGATCGGTGGCTATGACATCCCCAAAGGTTCTAAGCTGGTTATCAATGCTTTCCATGGGACGCGACCCAAGAACACCCACGAAGTTTATGCCCGACAGATTCTTTAGAAGCTCGACGGACATCAAGGGCCAGCATTTCGAGCTCATACCATTTGGGATGCCACAGTTGATACTGTCAGTCATGGTTTTGATTGGAGCGGAAGGCATATACTCTTTGCTACTCAAGACTCCTTTGGAGGTGATGGCAATTCCAAGGCACTCCTTGGATGTGTGTAAGACCTTTTAAAACTACTATATATATTTTGATGAGATTTATTTGCCATGGCTACTATTCTTCCAAAATCTTTGAAGCCGGGATACTCGGACGATCGCGCAAGGGAGCAAAACTACTTTGCCAGTCTTCTCAAAGCTTGCACAGGCTCAAGAAATCTCCAGCAAGGCAGGCAAATTCATGCTCGAATTCTAGAGCTTCCATCTCTCGGCTCTGATCTCTACCTTTGCAACCTCCTCGTTCTCATGTATGGAAGGTGTGGCAGCATTGCAGATGCCCAGGCGGTGTTTGAGTCCATCGCTAATCCCAATGATTTCTCCTGGAACATCTTGTTTGGTGTATATGCCCACAATGGGCGTTTGCAGCAAGCCAAGAACACCTTCGATAGAATGCCAAATCCAAATGTGGTCTCTTTCAATTCCATGGCCGCGGCATACGCCCAAAACGGCGAGCTAGATCGAGCCAAAGAGATGTTCGATGCAACGCCTCGAAAGGACACTGCCTCTTGGAATGGATTGATGCATGCCTTCTCTCAGGCTGGACAGGTCGACGCTGCGAGAGAGATTTTTGACACCATGCCTCACAAAGACGTCGTGTCGTGGTCGTGTGTTATCTCAGCATATGCCCAAGCCGGGCATCTTGAAGAAGCCGAGTCCTTGTTTTTGAGAATGCCAGATCCAAATGTGATAACTTTCAACGCTATGATAGTCGCGTATTCACAAACTGCATTGTTCGATCGTGCGAAAAGTTTGTTTGATTCAATGCCGGAGCGGGATTTGGTGACATGGGCAACGTTGCTCTCCACATATGCCCAAAAGAAAGACCTCCAAAACGCGGAGTTCTTGTTCAAAAGCATGCCGAGACACGACATTCTGTCAATGAACGTAATGATAAATGTTTACGTTCTTAATGGCCAACTTGAGAAGTCCATCTCTACTTTTAAGTCTATGCGCTACAAAGATGTTGTTTCATGGACGTCTGCTCTTTCCGCATATGCCCAAGCAGGTCATGTTGGCGACGCAAAGTTGCTCTTTGACAAGATGCCGGAATGGAACGTTGTTTCGTGCACGACCTTAATCTCCCTGTTTGCGCTCAAACAAAGGCTAGAAGAAGCCACAGTGTTGCTTGACTCAATGCCTGAGCACGACGTAATTGTCTGGAACGCAATTTGTGCAGCATATGCCAACAATGGGTATCTTGAGGAATCAAAGAAGGTGTTTGATTCCATGCCATACAAGAACTTGGAATCCCTCCACGCACTGATGGCCGCTTACGTCCACAACATGAAACTCAACGAGGCTAGACAGCTCCTCGATTCCATGCCAGTCCGAGATATAGTCTCCTGGAACACTCTCGTCGCTGCTTATGCCCAAAACGGTCAAATGGATCGAGCAAGCGGGCTCTTTCGAGTTCTCCCTCAGACCGACGTGGGAACCTGGAGTTCTATGATCGCTGGGCATGCAAAGGCTGGCCATGGCGAGAAGGCCGTCCAAGTTTTGAGTGAGATGGTCATGGAAGCCATAGCACCCGACGAGCTAACTTTCGCGAGCGTTTTAGCAGCTTGCAGCCATGGAGGGCTGCTCGAGCAAGGCACACGCTACTTCCTTTTGATGAGCTCGGACCTCGGGATCAAGCCGCTGGTGGAGCACTTCTCGGCGATGGTGGACATTTACAGCCGAGTCGGGCTGCTCAAGTTTGCCGAGGAGCTGATTGAGACGATGCCGTTTGTGCCGCAGCCGGAGACTTATCGAGCTCTGATGAGTGCCTGCGAGACCCAGAAGAATTCGTCGCTGGGGTCTCGAGCTGCCGAAAAGGTTGTTGCTTTGGATCCTGCTAAGTCGACATCGTATATAATGCTTTCGAATATGTACAGGGACAAACTTACTAGTTAGTAGACCTGCGCACTGCAAAGGAAGAAAGATATTAAGGGGAGAAGAGAAGCGTAATACCTTGCTTACCAGCAATCTCACGAGCATGGCTTTGCCTTTTCACTGCGTGGTTTTTGAGAATTTCTTTCTTGATGTCGGCCGAGAGCTTGTAGCTCACAAGGCGGATAATGGGAGCCCAGAAAGCCTCGAGCAGTGTCCTGGCGAAGCTCGCGGGAGCAAGCATCCCGCGAGTGAGCACCACCAGCGGGAAAAACGACTTCGGTGCCACGAGAAACGAGCCTTTCTTGACAGCATCGAGCGTGACCTCCGCGAGCTTATCGGGTGACTGCATCGTCTTGGGATCATATCGATTGAGTGTCTTGAGCATTGTTTCAAACTCGCCATCCTTGTCCACTGCAAAAAGTGTAGACTGTCACGGCTAGAAATCTTTCAAGTGTAAGTACCTTGATCCATAAGAGGAGTGTCGACAAAGCCAGGACAGACGAGATTGACATTGATGTTATACGGCAAAAGCTCGAGATGGAGACACTCTGCTAATCCTCGTAGAGCATGCTTGGTGGCACTGTACACTGAGCTCCCGTACAAAAGGAACTGGAGAAAAGATCAACACAAGATATACAAAAAGATTCCTATAAAGGAGTGAAGTATACCAGTCCTGCTCCGGAGCTGACGATCACAATCGAGTGCTTCTTTTCGCTTGCGAGCGGCTTCATGAGTGGAAGCGCGGTGTGGACTGTATGAATCACTCCCATCAAGTTCGTCTGGACTTGACCCGCATGAACTTCCACCGGGACTTCGTCAAAGTATCCAGCCTTAGTGTACCCCGCGTTGCAAACCAGGACGTCGATTGGTTTCCACGAGTGAGCCTCGCTCACGGCGGAGGATATCGCATTAAAATCGCCAACGTCGGCCACCTGATAAAAGTAGGATAACTCCCAAGTAAGAACTTGGAAAAATTCCAATCAAGTAAGAACGAATAAAGAAAGCAATCCAAAGGACGAACAGAAGAAAACAAGACGAAAGAAACAAGAAACAAACAAAACAAAAAGCTATCAGAACGATGGACGATCAAGGCAGAAAGAGATGTATGTATACATACCAAAACTTTGATGCTATGGCTGTCGCAGTGCGCTTCACTCACAAGAGATTGAGCCGCCTTGTCGAGCTTGAGCTGGTTTCTGGCCGAGATGGTAACAAATGCCCCTTGGAGGAGGGCCTGCTTGGCAATGGCGAGCCCAATGCCGCTGGAAGCTCCTGTGATAAAGACGTGCTTGCCCGCCAGCGATGGGATAGCCAGTTTCTTCCTCCTGCCAAATGTAAGAAATGCAAACGCCACCGCTGCTGCCGCTGCCGCTCCCGCCGCCACTAGCCCCGCCATTGCTCCCGCGCTAGGGCTCACATCAATTCGATTTGGGGTTTATCTTTACTTTATGCTACACTCTTTTGATTTTGATAAAATTGATAATTTTTGATTTTTTTCGTTAAATAAAAGAATACTGATTGCTATGGAAGTTGGCCCTAAGCATGCTCTCTTGTGTCTTGTTCTAGAACCCAGAATTATTGGGTTTGTCTTTATTTTACTATAGCATTATTTTTAAAAGTTGTAATAACTAAGCATATCCTATTTTAATGCTATTTAAAAAGCCTTTATAAAGAAGATATAAACCATTTCATACTTAAAGAATGACAGAGTTTGTTGTAGTTGTTTTCCTTTATTCATTTTTACTATATTTTCTTTTAGTTGGTGGGTATTTGCCAAGTGAAGCAACTCAAGATTGTATATCAATTGGTACACAAGATCCACCTTCTCCCCAAGCGTATTGTCATGTAACAAATCTGTGTAAAGTTAGGTACTTTAATAATTTTTGGGAAAATGGAGAATATACTGCCTCTGGAGGAGGAATATATGTCACAATTACTGTTAATAGAATGTATAGTAGGGCATCAATTCAACAAGATATAGAACAAGCTTTTAATTTTATATGGATTAGATGTATATCAGTGCTACGTCAAATGGGTGGTTTTGTTTATTTGAATGATGGAAGTTTATCAGTTAATGTTCAGATTGCACGAAGAAGAGAGTTATTAAAAGATCTTGATAGAATTAAAATAACAAAAGAATGTTCAAGTTTATAAATACCATTAATATTATTAAAATATATTATTATTTATAAATTTAAAATAAAAATTAATAAAATAATATAATCCAGAGTGTAGTATTTAAAACATATAATATAACAGATATTAAAAATATGATTATGATACATGACTTATGACATAAAATAAAACAAACACAATATTAAGTGGTAGTATAGTTTGAAAAAAAAATATTTCCAAAATATTATTTGATATAAGATAGTTAGAGATATTATAATTAAATGTATTAGTTTTATTATAAGAGAAATAATTTACTATACTTTCCTAGCAGCAATATCTGGTCTTCTTGGGGTTAGTTTCCAAAAAAAAATAGTTAGAGAGGAGGAATTTAAAAAACTACTCTTAAATCTTATAAGTTTTGATATGATAGTTTGATGATGATTAAACTTGTACATATAAGATAATAATTTGTTGCACATTACATGCTTTTGAGAATGTCATTGAAGTTATAATTAAAACTTGAAAACACTTTTTTCACATCATCCTCAATTTCCCATATAACATCGTCCATAGAATAACCATTCCACCAAACCAACAACTCCCAAATTGTCTTGCAATTTGTTTCACCAACCTTTAAACAAAAATATTGGTTAAATCAACTTTATTAGCATCAATCTTTGGGACCTAAAATTCACAACATCACTAGAGTACAAACATATTTTAAACTTGCTTATATAAAATGTTGCATATGCAACAAAATTGTAGATAATACAATATAATATTGTGGAGACAATTTATCACTACCACCTCCTTATAAACATTGTTATGCATTTAATAGTTTAAGAAAATTTTTGTCACCAACTTTGTATTTCTGATAATGATGATGTGCATTAACTAGTTTTTTGTTTCTTTCTTGAACTTGTTTTATGTTCAATTTTACCACTTTCATATCCTCAAAAAAATCACAAGTATGAGGCACTCAAACTAAAGCTAAACCTAAACTCATGAGAGACTTGGGCTTATAGCTATACATGACAATAAATAGAAATGTGTAAATATTAAATTGATGAGTGTTATTATAAGCAATCTAAAGTAAAGGCAAGTGATTCTCCCATACTCTTTATTGAGTCAAGTTTTCCATAAAAGACTTTAGCATATATTCCAATAGCTAGTTTATAATTTTTATTTGTCCATTTGATTATGGATGTTTGTTACTAATTATACTCAACTTATCTATAACTTCTTAAAAATCATTTGCCAAAAATTATCCTCTTTTGGAAAAGGGGTAATTATTTAATAAAGAGTTTTTAATGGCTATTTAATCCCTATATATTTTCTATACTTCCAAGAATCCATAATGACAATATATCTAAATTTTATCCCATGATCACATGTGCTACATTTAGTCAAAACGATTAATATCTCCCAAATATGGTCCACATGTCAAAGTTCAATAGAAGTGAGATATATATGATAATTAATGTTATTTTTAAATTTTAAAAATTATTAATTTTGGTATTTCTTCCCATAAAAATCAAGCATGGCACTATTGTGGTAAATTACAAATGTCTACATTTTTAAAAAATTGGAAACAATATCAATTGCCTGATGAGTCTAAAAAAGAAAAAAGGATTGATTGATTCAGCCATAGACTTAAAAATAAAATTGAGGGTAGGTTTTGGGGGTTTGAATGTGGTTGTTATACTAAACCATACATTGGTCTTATTCATAAAATTCTTATATAGATAGACAAACAAAATCATTATATGTCAAGAATTAATACTGATAAAATTATAAATAGAAAAAACCCAAAAAGGTACAAATACATGTTTTGTTTCTAACATATATCTTTATATATCTTTGTCTCATTCAATATTGGGTGTTTTCTATAATTTATTGCTTCTTAACTATGAATTTATTAAAATTAAATATAAGTTTTAATTGTTTCAATTGTTCATACCATTGTTTTTTAGAACTTTAAATGATTTTATTTATAACATTACTACAACATTTTTAATTAATATAAAAATCTCATATAATGCTTATATTAACTTCTTCTCTATTGAAATATTACTTCATCATAACTATCATGTGAATAATCACTATCAAATGCCTAATTTTGCCATCCATACCAACCTTCAGTTTTAAAATGACCATTACCAATAAAAGATACACCAAATGTTACATTATTTATTACTTTAGAGCATTTTTATGCTGCTAGTGTATTATAATCAAAGTAAGCAAATTCATTACATAAAATAACATTTTCTTGATAAACATTACAATTTGCAAGAGCAAATTTCATATCTGGAGCCAATTAAATTTATCTTTTCCTTCAATGATTGTTACTGTATAAAGAAGTTATTAATTAAGGATTAATTTCAAAATATTATACTTACACTGATATATATATATTAAATAAAAATAAAAGATAGAACCAAGTATTAAAACCCATGAAGAAAAAATAGAGTAATAATATATAACTAGCTTAGTAATTTCAAGATATTTAATGTAATTTTAAGTATAAATTTATCTTTATATAATATAAAGCTAATATTTCCAAAAAGAATTATTTTGTTCAATAATTATAAATTTCCTCTATACTTGACACATGAAATTTGTATTTTTGTCACTCTAAAACAAGAGTAGGCATACTACATACCTAGAATTGTGTTAACATTTGTACTATGTTAGCAAAATACAAATGAATGATGTAATTTATGAAGAATAACAAGGTTTTTGGTTTGCTTAAGCAAAGCTATAAGGGAAGTGGGGTGGTAGTGGATATACCTAGAATATGCTTGGATATTTTATGATACTCTACCACTTAAGTGTTATTCATTTAGATTAATCTTGTGTTTAAAATTTATAAAGATGTTTATAATTTATAAGCTTTTGTAAACACTTTCTAGTATATTCTAGTTTATTCTACCATTTTGATATTCAATATGATTAATCTTGTGTTTATAAATTACAAACATGTTTATAATTATAAAATTCTGATCAATTGGATTAATAAATGGGAATAACACTACTATTAAGAAAACCAAGCATTACTGCATGCAACACATAGCAAATTATTATAATTTATTACAATTCTGATCTTATGTATTTTAAGAACTCTCAATAATTATTATATTATAAAATTATAGTTTCAAATGGATTTTCTGTGAGAAATAATATGTTACTCTTTTTTAATTTAAATTCCGCTCTAATATATGTTTACTAATAACTCTCACTCCCAAAATTAAATTAATACATGATTTCTATACTACAATTCTCATTAGATTGCAAATAAACTTCATAATAATCAATGATGCTCACTTTGAGGTTTTGTGTAGAGTCATATGGATATACTATAGTATATCCATATTCTCCCAAAGCAAAAAGTAGCATACTTATCACTTATCATGTTTATGCTGTTTGAGTAAATAGCTAAAGTATTAAATGCAATTATATATTAAAGAGCTAAAATTTTAAAGTGTAACAATGCAGTAGAAAGTGGACTTGGCAAATGGACTTACTAAATGCTAAGAATGAGAAAAGATATATGCTTATAAGTTTAAAATAAAGTTTTTGATACATTACTCAAAAAATCATAGGTTAACCTGCAGTGAGAGCCTTCGACTGTTAATAACGTGGCAAGCTGGGTGCAAACGTTATTGACAGTCAACAGGCAAGCATATGCATGGTCACTGGCCCTCACAGGCAGGCCCAGATGTGGTTATGACACGTGGCAACATTTTAGAAGTGTATAGCAACTGTATATGTTCCCAGAACAAGCAAGGGGCCTATGAAAGTTTATTATACCTTCATAGAAAATGGCTTTCAAATGATAAATTATTTAACAATAGTATCTATTATTAATAATATTTATTTTTTATATTTATTTCATCTAAAGGGATCACTTCCCTTACTTTGTCTATGCCAGCTATGATAGAGATCTCTCTGCCATGATGTTATATCGGGAGGGAATGATTGAAAAGGAACTAAAAGTGTCAATGACCATGGCTCAATAAATGGTTTCATAGCAAGGACATGGGCAAGATCGGATAATGAAGATGTTAAAATGATGATAATGACATTTTCTGTATATTCACTGAGCTTCTTGATTTGGTTGAACTAACATATAAAATGTCTAACAGGTTTAGTTTGATATACAGTATTTTATTATGTTTTTTAAATTTTTAATTATCAGGATACACATGATTATGTTCTAATATTATTCTACTAAAGTTACTTATCCTTAACCACTAAACTTTGTATACTCCTCACAAGAATATTGCACATAATACAACCATAGCCCATCAGAGTCATTGTCATAGCCCGACAGTCCCAAGTGCATACACAGTGGATTTATCTCAAAACTTGATTCTTCTTGATCATCATCGATGGAATCTGATCAACAAAAGAGTGTCATTGGAAAGAAATCAAAGTTTGCTTGTTTACCTTGTGCCTGTTGCTAGTCACTCCTTGCTGCCAAGTCTGCTGTTCCACCCCTTTTGGAGGATTTTCATGAAGGTAAATTTTGTTGTTGGCAATGGGGTGTCTTAAGTGCTGCATATCTAGAATGTGAGAGAAAAAAGCTTAGCAATTGAATCGAGAGACTAAGGCTTAATTTGCTTGCCTGGTGAGTTCTTCCTGCATTCAACGATTTGGACACTCCATCCATGCTTAGATGCACAAACCTTGTATAAGCTTCTTTTACTTTGTTATCCTGTTCTTCACAAACTTGGGAAAACTTGAGAGTGCTGTAAGAAACTCCTTACAAACATGATGTTTACCTCCACAATGCTGCTCCCTTCCCGTGCATCATAATAAATGGCAATATTCACTACCACTTGAGAAAAATCTTATATATAAGCCAATAACATGAATTTTTTATCACTATATCAAATGTGTTTAACTTAATGATAATTTAAAATTTCCTTTTGTAATGCCTTTTTGGTCTATGTGCACACGTGCTGGTTAATTGCTCATTTAGTTTAGGTGGAGACCAATAAAAAGAATTAAAAGTATCAACCTCTTGCCATTATAACAGTAAGGAGAGAAAGAGAGTGAGAAAGAGTGGTTTTTTACCTCTTTTTCTGGAAACACACTTAGCAATGTATACTTTGCAAAGTCTACCATTCTTGATCTTCAAGCATCACATAGAGACATAGCAAAATTTAAAAAGCAAAGGAAAGCTTGAACAGCTGATAGAAAATAAAAGAGTTAAAAGAAAAATTGCATGAAAAGAGCTAGTTTACGGAATAAAGGTCCAATGTTGTGCCTGCTTGCAGGATGCCAACCACAGTGTTCTTGCAGTACTGCCCAAGTATGGGCCTAAAGAACAATTGCTCAAAGTTTTCTTCTTTACAAGCAGTAGAATTTTTCGGCACTCACTGGTATAGATGCTGGTCCCTCGTAGAGATTTACAATACTCTCGGCCAGAACTGGTCGAGATGGAGACACTCTGCTAATCCTCGTAGAGCATGCTTGGTTGCACTGTACGCTGAGCTCCCGTACAAAAGGAACTGGAGAAAAGATGAACACAAGATATACAAAAAGATTCCTATAAAGGAGTGAAGTATACCAGTCCTGCTCCGGAGCTGACGATCACAATCGAGTGCTTCTTTTCGCTTGCGAGCGGCTTCATGAGTGGAAGCGCGGTGTGGACTGTATGAATCACTCCCATCAAGTTCGTCTGGACTTGACCCGCATGACTTCTACCGGGACTTCGTCAAAGTATCCAGCCTTAAGTGTACCCCGCGTTGCAAACCAGGACGTCGATTGGTTTCCACGAGTGAGCCTCGCTCACGGCGGAGGATATCGCATTAAAATCGCCAACGTCGGCCACCTGATAAAAGTAGGATAACTCCCAAGTAAGAACTTGGAAAAATTCCAATCAAGTAAGAACGAATAAAGAAAGCAATCCAAAGGACGAACAGAAGAAAACAAGACGAAAGAAACAAGAAACAAACAAAACAAAAAGCTATCAGAACGATGGACGATCAAGGCAGAAAGAGATGTATGTATACATACCAAAACTTTGATGCTATGGCTGTCGCAGTGCGCTTCACTCACAAGAGATTGAGCCGCCTTGTCGAGCTTGAGCTGGTTTCTGGCCGAGATGGCAACAAATGCCCCTTGGAGGAGGGCCTGCTTGGCAATGGCGAGCCCAATGCCGCTGGAAGCTCCTGTGATAAAGACGTGCTTACCCGCCAGCGATGGGATAGCCAGTTTCTTCCTCCTGCCAAATGTAAGAAGTGCAAACGCCACCGACGCTGCCGCTGCCGCTCCCGCCGCCACTAGCCCCGCCATTGCTCCCGCGCTAGGGCTCACATCAATTCGATTTGGTACTTTACTGCTACACTCTTTTGATTTTGATAAAATTGATAATTCTTGATCTTTTCGTTAAATAAAAGAATACTGATTGCTATGGAATAATAACTAAGCATATCCTATTTTAATGCTATTTCAAAAGCCTTTATAAAGCAGATATAAACCATTTCATACTTAGAGACTGACAGAGTTTGTTGTAGTTGTTTTCCTTTATTCATTTTTACTATATTTTCTTTTAGTTGGTGGGTATTTGCTAAGTGAAGCAACTCAAGATTGTATATCAATTGGTACACAAGATCCACCTTCTCCCCAAGCATATTGTCATGTAACAAATCTGTGTAAAGTTAGGTACTTTAATAATTTTTGGGAAAATGGAGAATATACTGCCTCAGGAGGAGGAATACATGTCACAATTACTGTTAATTCTATGTATAGTAGGGCATCAATTCAACAAGATATAGAACAAGAACTTTATCAGTTAATGTTCAGATTGAACGAAGAAGAGAGTTATTAAAAGATTTTGATAAAATTAAAATAACAAAAGAATGTTCATCTTTATAAATACCATTAATATTATTATAATATATTATTAGCTAGAAATTTAAAATAAAAATTAATAAAAGCATAAAATCCAGAGTGTAGTACTTAAAATAGATAATAAAACATATATTAAAACTATGATAATGAAACATGACTTATGACATAAAATGAAAAAAATACAATATTAAGTGGTAGTATAGTTTGAAAAAACATATTTCCAAAATAGTTTTTAATATAAGATAGTTAGAGATATTATAATTAAATTCATTAGTTTCATTGTGAGAGAAATAATTTACTATACTTTCCTAGCAGAAATATCTGGTCTTCTTTTGGTTAGTTTCCAACAAAAAAGGTTAGAGAGGAGGAATTTAAAAAACTACTCCTAAATCTTATAAGTTTTGATACGATAGTTTGATGATGATTAAACTTGTACATATAAGATAATAATTTGTTGCACATTACATGCTTTTGAGAATGTCATTGAAGTTATACATAAAACTTGAAAACACTCTTTTCACATCATCCTCAATTTCCCATATAAGTTCGTCCATAAAATAACCATTCCACCAAACTAACAACTCCCAAATTGTCTTGCAATTTGTTTCACCAACCTTTAAACAAGAATATTAGTTAGATCAACTTTATTAGCATCAATCTTTGGGACCTAAAATTCACATCACTAGAGTATAAACATGTTTCAAACTTGTTTACATAAAATGTTGCATATGCAACAAAATTGAAGATAATACAATACAATATTGTGGAGACAATTTAGCACTACCCTTTTAGATATTGTTATGCATTTAATAGTTTAAGGAAATTTTGTCACCAACTTTATATTTCTAATAATGATGATGTGCATTAGTCAATTTCTTGTTTCATTCTTGAACTTGTCTTATGTTCAACTTTGCCACTTTCATATCCTCAAAAAAATCACAAATATGAGGCACTCAAACTAAAGCCAAAATTAAACTCATGAGAGACTTGGGCTTATAGCTATACATGACCATGAATAGAAACATGTAAATATCCAATTGATGAGTGCAATTATGAGCAATCTAAAGTAAAGGCAAATGATTCTCCCATACTCTTAATATCGAGTCAAGTTTTCCATAAAAGACTTTAGCATATATTCCACTAGCTAGTTTATAATTTTTATTTGTCCATTTGATTATGGATGTTTGCCACTAGTTATACTCAACTTATCTCTAACTTTTCAAAAATCATTTGCCAAAACTTATCCTCTCCCTTTAACCTATTTAGAAGCTATTTAATCCTTATATATATCTTTTATACTTCCAAGAATCTATAATGACAATATATCCAAATTTCATCCCATGATCACATGTGCTACATTTAGTGAAAATGTTTGTGATGATATATTAATATCCCACAAATATGGTCCACATATCAAAGTTCAATAGAAGTGAGATATATATATATATATATATATATATATATATATATGACAATTAATGTTGTTTTTAAATTTTGTAAATTTTTTCCAATACAAATCAAACACTTCACTATTGTGGTAAATTCCAAATGTCTACATTTTTAAAAAGCTGAAAACAATGTCAATTGCCTGATGAGTCTAAGAAAGAGAAAAGGATTGATTGATTCAGCCAGACTTGAAAAAACAATTAAGGGCAGCTTTTAGGGGTTTGAATGTGGTTGTTATACTAAACCATACATTGGTCTTATTCATAAAATTCTTATACAAATTTATTAAAAATTATTATATGTCAAGAATTAATACTGATAACATTAAAAATAAACAAAACAAAAAAAAGTACAAATACATGTTTAGTTTTTAATATATATCTTTATATATCTTTGTCTCATTCAATATTGGATTTTTTCTATGATTTATTGCTTCTTAACTATGAATTTATCAAAAGTAAATACAAGTTTTAACTGTTTCAATTGTCCATACCATTTTTTGTTTTATAACTTTAAATGCTTTTATTTATAACATCACTACAACATTTTTTAATTAATATAAATCTCATATAATGCTTATATTACCTTCTTCTCTACTGAAATACTACATCATCATAACCATCATGTGAATAATCACCATCAAATGCCAAATTTTGCCATCCATACCAACCTTTAGTTTTAAAATGACCATTACCAATAAAAGATACACCATCAAATGGTACATTATTTATTATTTTAGAGCACTTTTCTGCTGATAGTGTATTATAATCAAAGTAAGCAAATTCATTACCTTTTCTCCATAAAATAACATTTGCTTTATAAACATTACAATTTGCAAGAGCAAATTTCATATCTGGAGCCCAATTAAAATTATCTTCTCCTTCAATGATTGTTACTGTATAAAGAAGTTATTAATTAAGGATTAATTTCAAAATATTATACTTACACTGATATATAATAAATAAAAATAAAAGATAGAACCAGGTATTAAAACCCATGAAGAAAAAATAGAGTAATAATATATAACTAGCTTAGTAATTTCAAGATATTTAATTTAATTTTAAGTATAAATTTATCTTTAAATAATATAAATCTGACACTAATTACTAATACTTCCAAAAAGAATTATTTTGTTCAATAATTATAAATTCCCTCTATACTTGACACGTGAAATTTGTATTTTTTGTCACTCTAAAACAATAGTAGGCATACTACATGCCTAAAATTGTGTTAACATTTGTAATATGTTAGCAAAATACAAATGAATGATGTTTTTTGGTTTGCTTAAGCAACGCTATAGAGAAAGTGGGGTGGTAGTGGATATACCTAGAATATTTTAGGATATTCTACCACTTAAGTGTTATTCATTTAGATTAATCTTGTATTTAAAATTTATAAAGATGTTTATAATTTATAAGCTTTTGTAAACAATTTCTAGTATATTCTAGTATTCTACCATCTTGATATTTAATAAGATTAATCATGTGTTTATAAATTATAAACATGTTTATAATTATAAAATTTTTATCAATTGGATTAATAAATAGGAATAACACTACTATTAAGCAAACCAAGCATTACTGCATGCAACACATAAAAAATTATTATAATTTATTACAATTCTGAACTTATGTATTTTAAGATGTCTCAATAATTATTATATTATATAATTATAGTTTCAAATGGATTATCTGTGAGAAATAATATGTTACTCTTTTTTAATTTAAATTCCGCTCTAATATATGTTTACTAATAACTCTCACTCCCAAAATTAAAATAATACATGATTTCTATATTACAATAGTATATCCATATCCTCCCAAAGCAAAAACTAGCATACTTATCACTTAAGACTAATCTACTACTATAAGAAGCAAACGCCAAACTTTCTGGGCCGCCAGATCTGGCCAATCGGGGCTGTCCGATGGGGGGGTAACTGTAAAGGGGTTATTTCTTTAACCACATGTTAGCAAATAATCGGGCCAATGGGAGGCAGCCAAGCCGTGTGTGGCAAGAGAGGAAGGCCTGGTGACGCGTGTCACATGACCGTTGTGGCCTGTCAAGCGAATTGGTTTTGCCGTTGATGCCGATTTGCGATCCAAATCGGAGGTGCTGTGTCAACGCTGGTGTCTTTGCTCCTAAGAACCCCATCACAAGTTGTTATTTGTGATTCTTCTTTCATAACTTTGGTATTCTCATACACTATGTGTCTCCGCTTTTGGCTCTTCATCGCGTTAACATGTGGAGTTTCATCAAATCAAGGTATTTATGGTGCGTAGAATTTGTATGATCTTCATTCTTACTCCACTGTCGAGGCAATTTAAGCTCTTAAACGCTTTGAAGCACATTCACTCGGCACAGCCTTGCTCACCTGGACGTGAAGCCTGACAACATCTACATCTGCAATCGCATCTACAAGATTGTTTGGATCTTCTCTGGCGCTAAGAATTCGAAATGATCGAGCAGATATGTAGCAGTTCCAGTCGAGCAATCCCTTCGGATTTGTCATGGACGTGCTGGAGGGCGAAGGTCGCGATGAGAGTGAAGCTCTTCATCCACTTCCTGATGATGCTTACATCACAGTCATATGATAGAACTTGATTGCTCACTTTGGAAACTTCTAGCAGCGCCAATGGGAATGGACAGAACCTTCCCAAGAGTCCATTTGCCAGCCCGCATCACAGCGAGAGCTCTTCCAACTCGCACATACTTGAAGAACACCGCGGTCAACCTCCATCTCTGTCAATCAAAGAGAAGATGATGGGGCTGGATCTCAACAAAGTTTTCAACCTCACACTGCCGCACAATGGCTCCATCGTCTCTCGGTAGATATTTCTACGGCCACACATGTTCGAGCATGGCCAGAGAAGGCTCCTCCAATGCTTGACTTTGTCAGGCCATTAGACATTGTTCCACTAAATTAGTTTGCAGGGGATGCTTTTGCTTATGCTTCTGCAACAGTTGCTGCGGCAATCACCGGTGTGGATCAAACGCCTAACACTATAAACATCATATTCATTGCTGATGATCTTGAAGCTGAAAACACCTATAAGGTATTTCTAATATTTTGATTGAATTTTTTGGGTGAACTTCAAAAACAGGTGCATGTGCTGGGTGATATGGACCATGTCTATCATGAGCTCAAATCATCATGGTTTGCTGGGGATATGCCAAGTCATATTTTCTATAATCTCTGAGGAACTAAAGATAAAAATGTGTTCAGGATTGCACCCTCGACTATTGTCTTGAAAATTCCTGATGATACGCCTTGGGACCACATACAGAAACAGCTACACTATGTTTCATTCATATACGGGAAAAAACTTCTTTGGGGTATGTCTTTCTTGATCTTTACCAGTGGTTCATGATGCATGTTTTATCAATAGGTGCATGGCTACTTTATCCCTGAAAATCCTCGAGTGATCTTTGTTTGTTGCGGCTGCCATGTTTGCAAAAAGTTCAAGGTCGAGAAACAAACACAAGATATTGGTTGGTGTCACTATTGCAAGAATGAACAACCGTTTTTTCAAACTTTGTGGGTCCACGGCAAATTCTATCCAGATAATGGCCACCCCCAAGATGTTTGCATGGAAGACACTTATATAGACCAAGCATATAGTCTTAGTCCTAGCCAGTTTCTAAGAATGTTCACTTCTGCATGGATGCCTGGGGTAATCAAGCTTTTGGAGACAAAGAAGCCACCAACAGGCCACTTCTTATTCTCAACTGGTGCCCATGAGAGCTCGCCAAAAGTTATTGCATTCAAGGCTGATTAAAGTACTATACACTTTCATTTCCTGTTCCACAGTGTGCTTTTCTTTTCTGTTTGTACAATATACTATCTATAAGCTTGCTACATAGTTGTACTTGGGATCAATTGTATTATTACAACTTCAAAGTCTCTTGCAAGAATCTCCGCCAAAGCAGGCATGCCAATCATCTTAGTGACTTCTTTAAAATGTAGCAAAACTGCCTCCACCACATATTAAACACTATTTCATATTTCTCTTGCAGAAAAGAAAAATGTGATAAGAACCTTCCTATTTGTTTAAGCATATCCATCATCTTGGTCTGGAAAACTAGATCAACAGCCTCCATGCTGACACCAGTGCCATTCTGCGGCATCGTGAAAACATTGATGACCCAGACAGTGTACTCATCCACAAAATCACCTAGCATGAGACCCATAACTTCCATTGGCACACCAGCTCGGATGTGGGATCGGTTTCTTACCGCACGTCCTTTTGAAATATTTTTGCGAGGTTTTGGGCCGGCCAGTGGGCGCGCAACATGGCCCCGGCCGGGGGAGGAGGGTGTGAGTGACACTTGTCTACTTGCCTGGTAAAGCTCTCTTTTTTTTCACCACAGCTCCTCCCAACCACGGGGTTTCCAAGGGAAGTGGGAGAGGGGGCACTGCTGCCCAGCAACGGCAAGGACAGGGGATTGCTTGGCAATGCTGCATTCCCTTTTCCAGCAGAAGGAGCACAATGGCAATGAGTAGTTGCAATGGCATGGCCAGAGGCATCGACAGGGAAGCAGCGGCCAGGGATTTGTTGGAACGGATGGCGAGCAAGGGCATGGCACAGCCTGGAGGTGTGGAGGTGAGGCACGGGAATTCCTATTTTTGATCCAGCAGGGGATTCAGTTTGATCCATCACTCACCCACACAACAGACACAACAGTGGTGCATGGGACAGCGAGCACAAACTCACACAATAAGCAAAGCATCATTGTTTTATTCGCTGAACAGGTCCTTGGAAAGCTTGGCAGCCGCTTTGCTCGATTTTTAATCGCAAAAACTTTTGGATGAGAGCCGAGTGAGCGAGCCATGTTCAAGACAACGGAGAGCCAATCATGCCCTGCAAGCTTTGACTGCTTACTTCCATCTTGCAACCATCTTCATTCCATACAAGGAAAGGAGAAAAAATGAGAAGAAGCATTCTCTCAGCTGGGGGACTGGGAGGAAAATAATTCACATGACCAAGTAAGCAATAATGCCTAGGCCACCTGAAATAATTTTGTGAGACAGATCTTTGTGGCTGAATGGAATCAGAGTTTAGTGTTCTTGTTCACAACGAATTGGTGGCCACATATTCCCAGTGTAGTTTCTCTCTTCCTCTTCTTTGTTCGTATTTTTTATAGTTTCGTTTTGTGGCAGTACTGATGCACCTTTATTTGTTTCAGGTTTTGGAGTGACTCTTCCAAGCAAGCAAGCAAGTGATGGACTGGTGGATATGGCTGCCAAACTCGCCGAGGGAGTGAGCAGGATGGACAGATGCTTCATGGTGATGGAGATTCGTTGGCAATCCTTAAGGCTTCGTTACGTCTTGGGGTCTGTGAAGCTGGAAAAGAAGAAGAGTGGAAACCCACACGACGGGATGATCCTCCATTCGAGCTCGCAGATCTAAGGCACTGCGCTGCTCCACAAATTCCTGGGCTGATCAATTGGAGCGTGTGCCTTGTAGATCCCAATTTAGTGGACAAAACATGGTGCTCACAGTGAGGTAGCAAAAATGTAAGTCTTGCGAGAAGACACTGTATTAGGTAACACACATCAATCTGCTCTTTTTTGGCAACACCCAATTGCATTGAAAAGGTTAGTTTTTATGCCTGTCCATACCCTCAGTAAAAATCTTTTCCTTTCTATCTGCGCTAATAATTGATCTCCATTTTCAAAAGAAACTGTTGAAAATAATGTCGCGCCTTCGACATAACTGAATGCTATTCGACACAGACATACACATTCCACGTACAGTGATAACGTTCAAGACACTAACCAGTGCCAGCATACATATAGCTTTTACAACAGTAATATTCAAGAGGCTACAGAGTATCGACATCAAACAAATCTTAATAATCACATTGAACAGCAATCAATTTCCAATTCCTATTTGCCCCCTTCACCTCAAATTCGCAGCACACTTGCTAGCAATTACCTATATAATGATACATCTGTTTTGACAATGAATATAGGTCGCTTATCATATATTTGTAAGTATTGTCATGCCTCACACTTTGCCGATGAGAACAAGTCTATTTGTTGCAAGAGTGGACAGGTCTACCTACCTCCAATACTTCCATTACCACCTTTTCTGTATTCTGTATAACTCACAGAAACACTCTAATTTCAAGAGTAATATAAGACTATAATAGTGCACTTGCTTTCGCATCTATGGGAGCTAGCATTGATACTTTTACGGGTCATGGTCCATATTGCTATAGAATTCATGGACAAATCTATCACAAAATTATGCCACAACATCCTTCAATACATCAAAATCCAAGTTACAATCAATTGTACATGCTAGACTCCAATGAGGCTATTGATATCAGAAAACAAAACCCTTTTAACATTAAATGTGATTATAATTTACTGTTTCAACTAGATACGATACTTCGACATATTAATCCATATGCACAAGCTTTTAGAATGATGTATGAATTGGAGCGAGAAAATATTTCAAGAACTATTACTTCTGGTAGCAATTTACGTGGAGTTTATATGCTCATTAAAAATGAAGGCACAGACCATCGTTGATATAATACTCCACAAACTAATGATGTTGCAATAGTTTTCCAAAGTGAAGATGGTGTGCCACCTTTTGACCGTGAAATATGCATTCATCCAAAATCATCAGAACCACAACATATATCTATTTTAAATGCTAATTGCAATCCTATGGTTTATCCATTGCTTTTTCCACATGGAGATAGAGCCTAGCATGACAAGCTTTCTTCTAACAAGCATGTAACACTCCCTCAATATTATGCTTATCGTTTGTCCAAAAGAGATTCAACATTATCAACCTCTACAGTTACATATGACCAAATTTTACATGCTGGAAAACTCACCCAACAATAAATTGTAAATGCCTATGTTAAAATTGAAAGCAACAATTTACAATACTATAGATCTAATCAAAAAAATATGACAGTTGATTTTTATATAGGTTTGATGGATTATGTTGCTGGCAAAGTTGCTGATGCAAATGCTCGACTAGGAAAAATTGTTATTTTACTTTCTACTTTTACAAGAAGCCCAAGAGCTATACAACAAAATTACCAAGATGCTATGGCAATTGTAACAAAATACTCAAAACTTGATATTTTCATAACTTTTACTTGCAACCCTAAATGGCTTGAGATATTACAAAATCTGCACCCTAATGAAGGACCTGAAGACCGACCTGATATAGTTGCTAGGGTTTTTAACATGAAGCGAAAATATTTTCTCCATGATATTACACAAAATAATATCTTTGGAAGATGTATTGCATTTATAAATGTCATTGAGTTCCAAAAAAGAGGTTTGCCACATTGTCATTTCCTAGGCATATTAGATAATGAAAGTAAAATTAAAGACCGTGACACTATTGACCAATATGTATTTGCTCAATTACTTGACCCTTTATCAAAGCCTGAACTATTTGAAATAATCACATCACATATGATACATGGTCCATGTGGATTACTAAATCCTCAAAGTCCATGTATAGAAAACAAAAAATGCTCCAAAAACTATCCCAAAAACTTCAATGACAAAACTATATATTATATGGATGGGTACCCAGAATATTTTAGGCCGAACAATGGTCGCACCTTCCTTAAAAATGATGTTCCAATTGATAATAGATGGATCGTCCCATATAATAAATATTTATGTAAAAAATACAAAGCCTATATAAATGTAGAAATATGTGCATCAATTAAAAGTATTAAGTATCTTTTTCAATATGTTTATAAAGGATATGATTGTGCAACCATTCAAATCCAAACAGCTACTTAGTCTGAAAACATATTAAACTGGGATGAAATCATGAATTTTATAAATACCCGATACATTTCAGCACCAAAAGCTATTTGGAGGATATTTAAATTTAAAATGCATGGATGCTCACACCTTATAATACGTCTACCTGTACATCTTCCTGACTTCCAAAATGTGTATTTTACAGAAGGCTCGGAGCACAATGCCTTGCAAAGAGCAGCACATAATGGAACAATGCTAATAAAATTGTTCGAACTCAATATTCATGATCTGAATGCAAGACAATATACCTACGTTGAAATACTTTTACATTATGTTTTCAATAAATCTGCTAATATATGGCAATGTCAAAAAAAGAAAAAGGTTATTCCTCCACTATACACAGTATCTCCTCTAAATACTGAGTTGTACCACTTATGTATTATTCTTCTTCACAAAAGAGGAGTGACATTCTTCAACAATATTAAAACAATTAATGATGTAATTTACCAAAGCTTTCAACAAGCTGTTGTTGCTATGGGTTTTCTTGACGATGATAATGAGTGGTATAATTGTTTACAAGAAGCATGTAATTTTCAAATGCTTACACAATTGCATCAACTCTTTACTTTCATATGTATTTATTGCAATCCACAAGACCCACCATATCTTTGGGATGTTTTTAAAGATCAGCTCTCTAAAGATTTTGGTAGAACAAATATTCTATATCAATATAAACTTGCTCTAATAGACATTAACTCAAGAATGAAAATACATGGTAAAACAAACCAATCATACAATTTACCTATCCCAATCTTAAATACCTCTATTCAACCAATACCAAATTGCAACCATTCACATACAGAAATTTACCATTATATTAGAAACTTGAATACTGAACAATTAGCTATATTCAATGAAATTGTTAACATCATCAAATGCTCAACCGATACCAACCGTTTTATTTTTATTGATGGCCCTGGTGGTACTGGCAAAACACATTTATTAAATACAATGGTAAAATATTTTGAGTTCTACAATAAAAAAAAGTGGTTTGTATGGCATGGACGGGCATTGCAAGCACACTACTATACAATGGACAAATGTCCCATACAACCTTTAAGTTACCAGTTCCAATTAATGATACATTCGTTTCTGGTTTAACACCTAATAACAGTGCTGGTAGATCTATGAAAGAAATACAAGTGCTTATTTGGGATGAAATTAATATGGTTCATACACTTGCCTTTTCAACTGTCGACTGCTGCCTATGAGACTTGAAACAAAACAGTTCTCCATTTGGTGGCATTGTTATTGTTACAAGTGGTGACTTTCGTCAAACATTACCAGTTGTACCACACAATCATCGAACACAGATTGTTTTCACATCTGTAAGAATAAATAGTCTATGGAATCTATTTAGAAAGTATCAATTGCAAACAAATATGCAGCTTGGCCCCAAGTTCCTAGACTGGGCAGAATGGCTATTGAAAGTTGGTGATGGAAATAATTACACATAAAACTCTATTTTACCACTTGATTCTATCCTTCTTCCTTCAGAACTAATTAGAAATACCTCTATTGCTGATTTCGTGTTCCCATGTATCGAAGATATTTCAAATGTTCAAATTGCAGCAAATAGAGTCATTTTAACACCTTTCAATGATCCAATTAACAACAACATCATCTCTCAATTACTAGGTCCACCTCAAATTTATACTAGCATTGACTCTGTTAATGTTGAACACCTTGAAGATTTCCCAATTGAATTTCTAAATTCTATCACTCCCTCTGGACTACCACTACACAAATTGATACTAAAAGAAGGTTGTATAGTTATTCTTTTGAGAAATATGTCTCCAACAATTGGATTATGCCATGGAACTCGACTAATGGTCAAAAGAACTTCACCTAAAGTGTTGGACTGTAAAATAATTACAGGTGAATTTAAAGGTACTAGAACTTTTATCCCACGCATTAACTTAACACCCTCTGATTCAAATGTTCCATTCCATATGTCTCAAAAACAATTTCCTCTTCATCTTGGATACTGCTTAACAATTTCAAAATGCCAAGGTTAAACATTTGATCATGTAAGCATCTACTTACCCCAACCAGTTTTTACCCATGGGTAGCTCTATGTTGCACTCTCAAGATGCACATCACCACAACAACTTATAATTCGAGTTGACACAACTCATATATAAGGCCACTTAATTCCATTCAATTCATCAACATTCACCATCAATACTATATATAAAGAAGCTTTATATTAAATAACTCCTGTCCTTATACACCTTAAAAATGGCCCAATGGATAGCAATGGACCAGTGCTAAAAAGAATCATCTCACAAGGACATTATAAGATGTGAGCAAATTTTGTTACAAAGATATGTTAATAAGTTTGAGAGGCTTTGTCAACTACCCAGCATTGGCTGGGCAAATACTAGTCTAGTCTAGTCTAGTCTAGTACTATAAGGAGCAAATGCCAAACTTTGTGGGCCACCGGATCTGGCCAATCGGTGCCATCGGATGCGGGGTAAACCGGTAAATATCAGTTTCTTACCGCACGTCCTTTTGAAATATTTTTGTGAGGTTTTGGGCCAGCCAGTGGGCACGTGGCACAGCCCCGGCCGGGGGAGGAGGTGTGAGCACCACCCGTCTACTTGCCTGGTAAAGCTCTCTTTTTTTCACCACGGCTCCTCCCAGCCACGGGGTTTCCAGGGGAAGCAGGAGAGGGGGCACTACTGCCCAGCAGCAACAAGGACAGGGGATCACTCGGCAATATTGCATTCCCTTTTCCAGCAGAAGGAGCCCAAATCGTCCGAGCAGGATTTTGGCGACAAGCAGCTGCAAAGGCGTGGCCGGAGGCATAGACAGGGAAGCAGCGGCCAAGGATTTTTCTGGAATGGATGGCGAGCAAGGGCGTGGCAAAGCCTGGAGGTGTGGAGGTGAGGCACGGGAATTCCTATTTTTGATCCAGCAGGGGATTCGCTTTCATCATGTACAAAAGTGTTGACGACCCAAGGAAAGCCATAGATGATCCCAACAAGACAACAGTGGTAAGCTTACCCAAACATACCATCGTTTTTGCTGACAAGTCTATTCTTCCAGGGAATGCACGTAATTGTAAAGTGAGTGGTCAGCTCTAGAGCGCACAACAAGTAAGTGGTACATCGTTCCATCACTCACCCACACAACAGACACAACAGTGGTGCGATGGGACAAGGAGCCCAAACTCACGCAGTAAGCAAAGCATTATTGCTCCACTTGATAACACGTGCTTTGTTTTATTCACTAAACAGGTCCCCGGAAAGCTTGGCAACCGCTTTGCTCAATTTTTTCTTGCAAAAACTTTTGGATGAGAGCTGAGCGAGCAACCCATGTTCAAGACGACAGAGAGCCAATCATGCCCTGGAAGCTTTGACTGCTTACTTCCGTCTTGCAACCATCTTCATTCCATACACAAGTAAATAGTAATGCCTGGGCCACCTGCAATAATTTTGTGAGACAGATCCCTGTGGCTGAATGGAATCAGAGTTTAGTGTTCCTGTTCACAATGAATTGGTGGCCACATATTCCCATGGTATTTTCTCTCTTCCTTTTTCATGTCTCCTTTGTTCATATTTTTTATAGTTTCCTTTCGTGGCAGTACCGATGCACCTTTATTTGTTTCAGGTTTTGGAGTGACTCTTCCAAGCAAGCAAGCAAGCAATGGACTGGTGTATATGGCTGCCAAACTTGCCGAGGGAGCGAGCAGGATGGACAGACGGGAGCGAGCAAGATGGACAGACGGGAGCGAGCAGGATGGACAGACGAGATTCGTTGGCAATCCTCACAGCTTCATTACATCTTGGGGTCCGTGAAGCTGGAAAAGAAGAAGAGTGGAAATCCGCTACTCCATGCATACGATGTTGACAAGAGCTTGGAAGATTTCCAATGCTTGGAGATGATCACAAGAGAGTTTGGAAGTTTTCAGAAGATCACAAGAGCTTTGAAGTTTTCTTTTTGTTGCTGGATGATTTGATCAACCAAAAACTCTGTGTTTTTACAGTTTGAGCAGCAAAGTTTTTGATCTTTGGGAAAGATTCCACTCGCTGAAAACGCACTGAAAAAGTCCTTATTATAATGTAACGTGGAAGGAATGATGAGCTGGACCCAACAACCAGCAAGACTCCACGTTCCCGGCATTCATACCGGGGCTAGGGTTTTCTCCTCTTGGGCCTCCACACAACAGGATGATCCTCCATTCAAGCTCACAGATCTGAGGTGCCGCACTGCTCCACGAATTCCTGGGCTGATCAATTGGAGCATGCACCTCGCAGATTCCAATTTGGTGGAGGAAACATGGCATTCGTAGTGAGGTAGCAAAAATGTAAGTCTTGCAAAAAGACACTGTATCAGGTAACACACATCAATCTGCTCTTTTGGCAACACCCGATTGCATCGAAAAGGTTAGTTTTTATGCCTGTCCATATCTCTCAATAAAAATGTTTTGCTTTCTATCTGCGCTAATAATTGATCTCCATTTCCAAAAGAAACTGTTGAAAATAATGTCGCGCCTTCAACATGTATTGAATGCTGTTCGACACAAACATACACATTCCACACTAACCAGCACCAGCATATATATAGCTTTTACAACAGTAATATTCAAGAGGCTATGGTGTATCGACATAAAAAAAATCTTAATAATTCTTCAGAGTATTAATCACACTAAACAGCCAATTCTTATTTGCCTCCTTCACCTCAGATTCGCAGCACACTTGCTAGCAATTACCTATATATTGATACATCTATTTTGACAATGAATATAGGTCCCTTATCATATATTTGTAAGAATTGTCATGCCTCACACTTTGCTGATGAGAACAAGTCTATTTGTTACTAGAGTGGACAGGTCTACCTGCCTCCAATAATTCCATTACCACCTTTTCTGTAATCTATATATAACTCACACAAACACTCTAATTTCAAGAGTAATATAAGACAATATAATAGTGCACTTGCTTTTGCATCTATGGGAGCTAGCATTGATACTTTTATGGGTCATGGTCCATACTACTATAGAATTCATAGACAAATCTATCACAAAATTATGCCACAACATCCTTCAATACATCAAAATCCAAGTTACAGTCAATTGTACATTGAGGCTACTGATATCAGAAAACAAAACCCTTTTAACATTAACTGTGATTATAATTTACTATTTCAACTAGATATGATACTTCTACATATTAATCCATATGCACAAGCTTTTAGAATGATGTATGTATTGGAATGAGAAAATATTTCAAGAATTATTACTTCTGGTAGCAATTTACGTGGAGTATATATGCTCATTAAAAATGAAGGCATAGACCATCAATATAATACTCCACAAACTAATGATGTTGCAATAGTTTTCCAAAGTGAAGATGGTGTGCCACCTTTTGACTGTGAAATATGGAGAATATAGAAGAACGAATAAAGAAAGCAATCCAAAGGACAAACAGAAGAAAACAAGACAAAAGAAACAAGAAACAAACAGCAAAACAGCAAAACAAAAAGCTATCAGAACAATGGACGATCAAGGCAGAAAAAGATGTATGTATACATACCAAAACTTTGATGGGCTGTTGCAGTGCACTTCACTCACAAGAGATTGAGCCACCTTGTCGAGCTTGAGCTGGTTCCTGGCCGAGATGGTAACAAATGCCCCTTGGAGGAGGGCCTGCTTGGCAATGGCGAGCCCAATGCTGCTGGAAGCTCCTGTGATAAAGACGTGCTTGCCCGCCAGCGATGGGATAGCCAGTTTCTTCCTCCTGCCAAATGTAAGAAATGCAAACGCCACCGCCGCTGCTGCTGCCGCTCCCGCTGCCACTAGCCCCGCCATTGCTCCCGCGCTAGGGCTCACATCAATTCGATTTGGGGTTTATCTTTACTTTATTGCTACACTCTTTTGATTTTGATAAAATTAATAATTCTTGATCTTTTCGTTAAATAAAAGAATACTGATTGCTATGGAAGTTGGCCCCAAGCATGCTCTATTGTGTCTTGTTCTAGAACCCAGAATTATTGGGTTTGTCTTTTTTTTACTATAGCATTATTTTTAAAAGTTGTAATAACTAAGCATATCCTATTTTAATGCTATTTCAAAAGCCTTTATAAAGAAGATATAAACCATTTCATACTTAGAGACTGACAGAGTTTGTTGTAGTTGTTTTCCTTTATTCATTTTTAATATATTTTCTTTTAGTTGGTGGGTATTTGCTAAGTGAAGCAACTCAAGATTGTATATCAATTGGTACACAAGATCCACCTTCTCCCCAAGCATATTGTCATGTAACAAATCTGTGTAAAGTTAGGTACTTTAATAATTTTTGGGAAAATGGAGAATATACTGCCTTAGGAGGAGGAATACATGTCACAATTACTGTTAATTCTATGTAATCAATTCAACAAGATCTAGAACAAGCTTTTAATTTCATATGAATTAGATGTATAGCAGTGCTACGTCAGATGGGTGGTTTTGTTTATTTGAATGATGGAAGTTTATCAGTTAGTGTTCAGATTGAACGAAGAGAAAGTTATTAAAAATTTTTGATAAAATTAAAATAACAAAAGAATGTTCATCTTTATAAATAACATTAATATTATTAGAATATATTATTAGCTAGAAATTTAAAATAAAAATTAATAAAAGCATATAATCCAGAGTGTAGTGTTTAAAATACATAATAAAACATATATTAAAAATATGATAATGAAACATGACTTATGACATAAAATAAAAAAACAATATTAAGTGGTAGTATAGTTTGAAGAAAACATATTTCCAAAATAATTTTTATATAAGATAGTTAGAGATATTATAATTAAATTCATTAGTTTCATTGTGAGAGAAATAATTTATTATACTTTCCTAGCAGCAATATCTGGTCTTCTTTGGGTTAGTTTCCAACAAAAAAGGTTAGAGAGGAGGAATTTAAAATATCTTATAAGTTTTGATACGATAGTTTGATGATGATTAAACTTGTACATATAAGATAATAATTTGTTGCACATTACATGCTTTTGAGAATGTCATTGAAGTCATATCTAAAACTTAAAAACGCTCTTTTCACATCATCCCCAATTTCGCATATAACCTCATCTATAGAATAACCATTCCACCAAACTAACAACTCCTAAATTGTCTTGCAATTTGTTTCACTAACATTTAAACAAGAATATTAGTTAGATCAACTTTATTATCTTTGGAACCTAAAATTCACAACATCACATAGAGTATAAACTTGTTTACATAAAATGCTGCATATGCAACAAAATTGAAGATAATAAAATACAATATTGTGGAGACAATTTAGCACTACCATTTTAGATATTGTTATGCATTTAATAGTTTAAGGAAAACTTTTTCACCAACTTTGTATTTCTGATAATGATGATGTGCATTAGCCAATTTCTTGTTTCATTCTTGAACTTGTCTTATATTCAACTTTGCCACTTTCATATCCTCAAAAAAATCACAAGTATGAAGCACTCAAACTAAAACTAAACTTAAAGTCATGAGAGACTTGGACTTATAACTATACATGACTATGAATAGAAACATGTAAATATCCAATTGATGAGTGTCATTATGAGCAATCTAGAGTAAAGGCAAGTGATTCTCCCATACTCTTAATATTGAGTCAAGTTTTCCATAAAAGACTTTAGCATATATTCCAATAGCTAGTTTACAATTTTTATTTTTCCATTTGATTATGGATGTTTGCCACTAGTTATACACAACTTATCTCTAACTTCTCAAAAATCATTTGCCAAAACTTATCCTCTCCCCTTAACCTATCTGGAAAAGGGGCAATTATTTAATGTGAAAGCTTTTAATGGATATTTAATCCCTATATATCTTCTATACTTCCAAGAATCCACAATGACAATATATCTAAATTTCATCTTATGATCACATGTGCTACACTTAGTCAAAACAATTAATATCTCACAAATTTGGTCCACATGTCAAAGTTCAATAGAAGTGAGATATATATAACAACTAATATTGTTTTTAAATTTTAAAAAATTGTAAAATTTTGGTATTTCTTCCAATACAAATCAATCACTGCACTCTTGTGGTAAATTCTAAATGTCTATATTTTTAAAAAACTGGAAACAACATCATGAATGTGGTTGTTATAATAAACAATATGTTGGTATTATTCATAAAAGTTTTATATAAATTTATAAACAAAATCATTATATGTCAAGAATTAATACTGATAAAATTACAAATAGAAAAAACCAAAAAAGTACAAATACATGTTTAGTTTTTAATATAGATCTTTATATATCTTTGTCTCATTCAATATTGGATGTTTTCTATAATTTATTGCTTCTTAACTATGAATTTATCAAAACTAAATACAAGATTTAACTGTTTCAATTGTCCATATTACTTCATCATGACTATCATGTGAATAATGACCATCAAATGCCCAATTTTGCCATCCATACCAACTTTTAGTTTTAAAATGACCATTATCAATAAAAGATACACCATCAAATGGTACATTATTTATTACTTTAGAGCACTTTTCTGGTGATAGTGTATCATAATCAAAGTAAGCAAATTCATTACCTTTTCTCCATAAAATAACATTTGCTTTATAAACATTACAATTTGCAAGAGAAAATTTCATATCTGGAGCCCAATTAAATTTATCTTTTCCTTCAATGATTGTTACTATATAAAGACGTTATTAATTAATGATTAATTTCAAAATATTATACTTACACTGATATATATATATTAAATAAAAATAAAAGATAGAACCAGGTATTAAAACCCATGAATAAAAAATATAGTAATAATATATAACTATCTTAGTAATTTCAAGATATTTAATGTAATTTTTAGTATAAATTTATCTTTATATAATATAAAGCTGACAATAATTACTAATACTTCCAAAAAGAATTATTTTGTTCAACAATTATAAATTTCCTCTATTTTTGACATGTCAAATTTGTATTTTTTGTCACTATAAAACAATAGTAGGAATACTACATACCTAAAATTGTGTTAACATTTGTAATATGTTAGCAAAATACAAATGAATAATGTTTTTTGGTTTGCTTAAGCAAAGCTATAGGGGGTGGTAGTGGATATACCTAAAATATTCTTGGATATTTTAGGATATTCTACCACTTAAGTGTTATTCATTTAGATTAATCTTGTATTTATAATTTATAAAGATGTTTACAATTTATAAGCTTTTGTAAACACTTTCTAGTATACTCTAGTATTCTACCATCTTGATATTCAATAAGATTAATCTTGTGTTTATAAATTATAAACATGTTTATAATTATAAAATTTTTATCAATTGGATTAATAAATAGGAATAACACTATTATTAAGAAAACCAAGCATTACTGTATGCAACACATAGCAAATTATTATAATTTATTACAATTCTGAACTTATGTATTTTAAGATGTCTCAATAACTATTATATTATATAATTATAGTTTCAAATGGATTATCTGTGAGAAATAATATGTTACTATTTTTAAATTTAAATTCCGATCTAATATATGTTTACTAATAACTCTCACTCCCAAAATTAAAGTAATACATGATTTCTATACTACAATTCTTATTAGATGGCAAATAACTTCATAATAATCAATGATGCTCAGTTTGAGGTTTTGTATAGAGTCATATGGATATACCATAGTATATCCATATCCTCCCAAAGCAAAAACTAGCATACTTATCACTTAAGACTAATGTAATCTATAAATCTCAATTACAAACAATGTATAAAGAGTTTAGAGCAAGTTCAAAAGTCTTGTGTTTGATTGGTGATGTTGGAAGTTTAACCAAAGGATTACCTCACTATTACAGTGTTAGTAACTAACATGTTTATGCTGTTTGAGTAAATAGCTAAAGTATTAAATGCAATTATATATTAAAGAGCTAAAATTTTAAAGTGTAACGATGCAGTAGAAAGCGGACTTGGCAAATGGGACTTACTAAATGCTAAGAATAAGAAAAGCTATATGCTTATAAGTTTAAAATAAAGTTTTTGATACATTACTCAAAAAATCATAGATTAACCTGCAGTGAGAGCCTTTGACTGTTAATAACGTGGCAAGCTGGGTGCAAACGTTATTGACAGTCAACAGGCAAGCATATGCATGGTCACTGGCCCTCACACGGATGTGGTTATGACACGTGGCAACATTTTAGAAGTGTATAGCAACTGTATATGTTCCCGGAACAAGCAAGGGGCCTATGAAAGTTTATTATATCTTCATAGAAAATGGCTTTGAAATGATAAATTATTTTAACAATAGTATCTATTATTAATAATATTTATTTTTTATATTTATTTCATCTAAAGGGATCACTTCCCTTACTTTGTCTATGCCAGCTATGATAGAGATCTCTCTGCCATGAAGTTATATCGGGAGGGAATGATTGAAAAGGAATTAAAAGTGTCAATGACCATGGCTCAATAAATGGTTTCATAGCAAGGACATGGGCAAGATCGGATAATGAAGATGTTAAAATGATGATAATGACATTTTCTGTATATTCACTGAGCTGCTTGATTTGGTTGAACCAACATATAAAATGTCTAACAGGTTTAGTATGGTATGCAGTACTTTATTATGTTCTTTTTAATATTTTAATTATCAGGATACAGATGATTATGTTCTAATATTATTCTACTAAAGTTACTAAAGTTACTTATCCTTAACCACTAAACTTTGTATACTCCTCACAAGAATATTGCACATAATGCAACCATAGCCCATCGAAGTCATTGTCATAGCCTGACAGTCCCAAGTGCGTATACAGTGGATTTATCTCAAAATTTGGTTCTTCTTGATCATCGTTGATGGAATCTGATCAACAGAAGGGTGTCATTGGAAAGAAATCAAAGCTTGCTTGTTTACCTTGTGCCTGTTGCTAGTCACTCCTTGCTGCCGAGTCTGCTGTTCCACCCCTCTTGGAGGATTTTCATGAAGGTAAATTTTGTTGTTGGCAATGGGGGTGTCTTAAGTGCTGCATATCTAGAATGTGCGAGAAAAAAGCTTAGCAATCAAATTGAGAGACTAAGGCTTAATTTGCTTGCCTGGTGAGTTCTTCCTGCATTCAATGATTTGGAAACTCCATCCATGCTTAGATGCACAAACCTTGTATAAGCTTCTTTTCCTTTGTTATCCTGTTCTTCACAAACTTGGAAACCTTGACAGTGCTGTAAGAAACATTTATTATGATGCATGGGAAGGGAGCAGCATTGTGGAGGTAAACATCATGTTTGTAAGGGCAACATTCACCACCACTTCAGAAAAATCTTATATACAAGCTAATAACATGAATTTTTTATCACCATATCAAATGTGTTTGACTTAATGATAATTTAAGATTTCTTTTTGTAGTGCCTTTTTGGTCTATGTGCACATGTGCTGGTTAATTCCTCATTTAGTTTAGGTGGAGACCAATAAAAAGAACTAAAAGTATCAACCTCTTGCCATTATAACAGTAAGGAGAGAAAGAGAGTGAGAAGTAGACTTTGCAAAGTATACATTGCTAAGTGTGTTTCCAGAAAAAGAGGTAAAAAACCACTCTTGATCTCTATTTCTAATCGATTTTAGCAACTTTCTCAGCAAGCATTCTTGGAATTTACCTACACATATAATTATGAGTTATAAAGAGAGAAAAATCAAAACCAGTTGCCAAATTGTGTAAACACCATCTTTTTATTTTGTGGGGATTAATCATGATGCATTCTTGATCTTCAAGCATCACATAGAGACATAGCAAAATTTAAAAAGCAAAGGAAAGCTTGAACAGCTGATAGAAAATAAAAGAGTTGAAAGAAAAATTGCATGAAAAGAGCTAGTTTACGGAATAAAGGTCCAATGTTGTGCTCTGCTTGCAGGATGCCAACCACAGTGTTCTTGCAGTACTGCCCAAGTATGGGCCTAAAGAACAATTGCTCAAAGTTTTCTTCCTTGCAAGCAGTAGAAGTTTTTGGCACTCACTGATCCCTCATGGAGATTTACAATACTCTCGGCCAGAGCTGGTGGCTCATGCCTGAATATCAATAAGACTAGAGATCAATGAAAGAACTTCAGAAGTGTTGTGAAGCACCTGTGAACGAAGTGGATCAGGTTTTTTGTTGTTCGAACTCTAAATTCGTTATCACATTTTCTATCCTCTACCAAAATCCGGCCTGATCGAACAGCATCAACCTGCAAGTAAACGCCAGGTTTGAAAAACTCACATAATACTCATACGGCCTTCGCCTGAATTCGTCGGCAAACATGTCCACGACTGTCTTTCCAGACCATCGCTGTTTCATCTGAGCAACAAGAAAAAAGAGAAAGTCAAGTTTTTTTTAATCGGCAAAACAAAAAAAAGAGAGAGATAATTTCTTTCAAAACCACGCACATGAGCAAGAACTCGAAATAATACGGTAGCACGAATCGCATTTCATTGTGACACAATGAAATGCAGGCAGTAGCTCACGGGCAGAGCATTCCATCGTATCGTACGATGATGTAATGCGAGGGTCCATTGCTGTCTAGACCCTAAACGTTGCTTAAAAAGTTAGTACATTTTTTATTACTGCCTCGTTCAAGCTAAAGGTATTTTTCCTTGCAATATTGGAGGTTAGCCATAATTTAGTTAAGATTGTGCATTTAAGCTGAAAGATCCTTCTATTTTCACATCCATTAATTTTATAGTTAATGATTATTACCAAGTCACTCTTTTAAGGTGTTACTTCGAAGTACACAGCGTATTTTTCATCACTGTAGGAAGAGAGTGGAAACATCAGGTAAGTGTCGTTGCCACCATAAGCCTCAAAACTCATGGGATGATACGAAGCTCTTCCCGTGGTCACACCGAAACTGGCTGCCATCTTGTTGAATCTTTCGCACTCAAGAGTGATATCCCTTCCTTGAGCAACCAAGAAGCAACCTTGGATGCCGCTGGCCTCGAAAGAAATTTCTCCCGGATGACCAGAGAGCGCCGAACGTAGCTTAAACACCGAAGAACTCGAGGGGAAACCCGAGCTCTTGCCGTTAGTAAGCCTGACACCATCTTCAATCCCAAAATAAGTGACAAACCTCCCCGGCCGATTCAAGAGCTCGAGAGATACCTCCCGATCGAGCAGCAAGCTTGTAACATCCTTGACTTGAATCTTCTCTATCGTCTTCAGAGATGGTAGTAACTTAAGTCTGAAAGTTGCCAGAGAAGCTTCTTCGGAGCCGTGTTGAGGCTTGCTGATCATGGACAAAGCTCCATCGCTGCTTGCTGCTAGATACTGGAGCTTTCCTTGTTGGAGTTGCGTGAAGCTAAACAGATTACTGTCACGCACCGGTTTTATCCATCTCGAAGGAGTCGATACGTTGACGGATCCAAGTTTATAATTGCCATCGCTCATCCCAGCCAGGAGGTAAGGACCGTAGTATATCGCGTAGAGCGATGAGTACTTTGAGCGCTCATCTAGATCATTTTCAAAAGCGAGTGTAAAACTTATATCGAGAGCTTCCATTCGTTACCTTGGATCTTTTCGAGCCTTAGCATGGCCGAGAAGGTAAAGGATAATTTATCTCCGGTCTTCCATTCTCGTGACACATCGAAGAACGTTCCTGTGAGAATCGAGCTTTAGAGAATCCAATCCATGCTATATGCCAGGAAACGAAAGAACCCGTACCTGGTGTTAAGTTTTGAAGCTCAAGTCCGTTGAGAAGGCACCTGGAGGATTGAGCCCAGTAAGGCACCCGAACGGACAACTTTGCTTCGCTAGTTTTTCCAAGCACAAGCTTCTGCAAGTTTCACTTCAACAAAACCGGGCAGAGGAGAAAATTTTAGCCTCACCTGTGTGAAATTGAATGTGACCGTCATCACAGGATCAGTCGAGGTCATATGATAAACCCGTTGATCTAAGCTGAGACCAGCAGCAGTCCACAAAACTTTAGACGACAAATATTGGATCACGTATAGCTGTGGAGTGTCTTGTACTTCATTTGTGAAGTAAATGGAGTCTCCAAGCTTGGAAAAAGACTCGATTGCTACAAAAATGTGCAAGTTTTGGACATAAGAAGGAGAAGAGAAGAACATACCGGTTCCATAGCAGCACCAGAAAGACGTGAATGGTGTTCCCCAACCATGATAGGACTTCGCTTTGGAGCTTCCAGGGGCGAGAGGAAGCATGTAGATCATAACTCCAGGCTCTTTTCCTCGTTGAATTGTGAGAACCCCGTTGATTAACGCTCTCTCGTAGAAATCAGCATAATGCATTTGCTTTGTCCAGCGGAAGAGATTTCGTGCCACCTAAAGCAGCAAACAGCATGTGAGGATAAAAGTAAAAAAGAGAAAAGACTTCCTAATGGAAACCTTGAGCATGTTGTAAGTTGTACAAGATTCTTCGTTTTCGGTTCCCAGAGTGTCTCCAAGTCTATTTGGATTGGACCTGAATTATAAACAGGCCCAGATCTCAGATTGAGCTTACTTGATAAATCCTTACCAGAATTCGCCGGAAGACGTCCCCCCCGTAGCATATGTATGGGAGGAGCTCACGATTTTCATGAAATATTCGCTTAAATCCTGAAAAAAAACTCGCTAACTCTCATGCTTACAACTGGATTAAAAGCTGGACCTTATAAAGCTTATCACCCACAACTTCGTACCGCAATTGGGCACCAATCACGATGGGTATGTGAGTGTTGGCATGAAAGCCCGATATGCTATCAGCCTGGAAAAATTACCAGAAAAAAAAGAAGGCAAGAAAAATGCAAGAAATAAAAGAGAAGAAAACAGAAGAATTACCCGAACAGCCAACAATCCTAGGAAACATGGTTTATCAAACAAGTGTGCCAACTTTAAGTGTTTCGCATCTCCCTGAGAATGGTTTTTTCGTCAGGATCAACCAAGCCAAGCTGTGAAGAGCTTACCGTAATTTGATAGATACGATACAAGACATCGTTCATCCCGCCAGTCTCCTCGTTTAGTGATTGCCAGTGTCTCTCGATGCTATACTTCTCAATGACCATCTCAACGCGGCTCCCAAAGTAATCAGTCATGCCTAACAGCATCTCGAATGCAAGACTGTTCGCGGCATACGTATACTGATCCAAAAGTCCTGCCATAATCTTTCAAGGGAACAAAAAAACAGGACTACGTTGGACGTTCAAGAAAAGAAAAAAAAAAAAAAACAAGAAAGCTCTATACCTTGTGAATTGTGTAGTATGGTGCCCAAACAGACTCCAGAGCTTCGAAACGATCAAACAAGCTGGTTGGAAAAGCAGACAAGTATCCAGTTCCAATCTTTGCCTGGCACTCGGCCAAAGCTGCTACGACAGCGTTCATGTTTTCGTAGATGGTGAGGTTGTGAGTGGAGGCCCAAGTCATTGCACTCGCACTGAGATAATGCCCTGCAGGTGGAAACTTAAGATCACCGAGGAAAGAATCGTCTCACACATACCCACGAAATGACCCCGGAGCTCTGAGGTCGGAAGCTCCCATCCTCCATAGGCTGATCCCGAGGCGTTCAACCCAGCAGTGGTTCTAAAACTATACACCAAGTTGTCCACATCGAGCATGAGCAAGTAGTCGAGATTGGTTTGCTGCGCAATTGCCTGCCACGAGTCCGGCAAAAGCCTCACGTCGTGCAGTGAAACAGCCCCAAGAAAGGAATTGTTTTGCTGCTGCTGGAGGACTCTCCTCCTGGAAAATTCTAGCGAACCTGTGGCGGTGGTGGTGTTCCAGCTGCTGGCGGTCGACGTGAGCTCCAGGCCGGAATCGAATGCGGCGAGGAGCTGAGCCCGCAAGGTGTGTGAAACCCCAGTGTTGGTGCACATCTTTCCATGGCCAAGCGGGCAGAGGAGCGGCAGCAAAGTGAGTACCAGGAGCGAGAAAGGGATCATCGTTCGCCTTCTAGACTTCCTGGAAAAGAAACAAGAAGATCATGGAAAGATCAAGCTTAAGAACATAAAGACTCTAAAGAGAAAAATAAGGAGAGAAACCCCTTGTCTGGTTTCGATGATGCTGCATTATCCTCTAGCGCAATCATCCTCCATTCCTTGGAATGCAAGGAAAGCTACCATCACAAACCATCTCCACTCTTGATGCAATCTTAAACTTTGCTTCTTTAGAAAGCTTCTCAAGAAATTGCATGATCACTCAAGTCCAAGACCTCCTTTTTGCATGGATGATTGCCTCAGGCTTATCGATTCTTGCAAGACACTTTCTTTTGCTCGGCAGATTCGAGCTCGTCTTGACTGTGCCGGCACTGTGTTTATCTCCAACAAGCTCATTGAGATGTTTGGCAGGTGTGGTGGAGTGCAAGATGCCGAGAGTGTCTTCTATGCGATGGACAAGAGGGATCCCTTCTCGTGGGATGCAATGCTCCTGGCGTATACGAAAAACTCTTGCCTGACCCAAGCAAGGGTTTTCTTTTTTGATCTAATGCCGGAACAGAGCCTCATTGCCTGGACTGCAATACTCGTGGCACATGCCCAAAAAGGGCATCTTGTTGAAGCAAAACGGCTGTTTGAAAGTATGCCTTTTAAAGACATAGTAGCATGGAACACCATGATAAGTGGGCTTGCTCAACACGGACACTTAAGCAGCGCTGAGATACTCTTTGACCAAATGCCGCAAGTTAATCTTGTCACATGGAATGTGCCATGCTTACGGCATATGCCGAAAACGGGCATCTTGAAAACGCATACCACCTGTTTAATCAGATGCCGGAAAAAAATTTGGTGACTTGGAATGCTTTGCTTTCGGCTTTGGCACAAGCTCGACACATTACTGGCCTGCAAATTGTGTTCAATCAAATGCCACTGTGGAATCTAGTTTCTTGGACTTCGGTGCTGACCGCATATTCAATTGACCGGCATTTTGAAAAGGCTGAGCTGACTTTTAAGGCCATGCCCGTATGGGATTTGGTTGCCTTCAATGCCCGGCTGACAGCCTCTTCTCAAAACGACTCTTATGAGAAAACAAAGAGAATGTTTGAGAAGATGCCAGAGCGTAACTTTGTCTCTTGGAATGCAATGCTTTCAACGGCTATTGCAAGCCGTGATCTTGATTCCGTAAATTCATTGTATAATAACATGCCTCAGCATAGCTTTTATACTTGGAATATTGTTTTGGCTGCATACACACACTATGGCCTTATGGAAAAACCGAAGGATATGTTTGAGACGATGCCGGAGGAGGATCTTATTTCTTGTAACACTATGCTTTCTGGATATGCCCAAAACCGGAATCTAGAGCTTGCCAAATTCATGTTTGATAGAATGCCACAAAGGGACCTATTTTCCTGGACTGCTCTTCTCTCTGGTTTTTCACAAAATGGCTTTATTCAGGAGGCTACTAGTGTGTTCTACCAAATGCCAAAGAAGGACTTTGTTGCATGGAGCGCCTTTCTTTCAGCACATGCCCAAAACGGGCACCTTTTATACTGTAAGTTGCTATTTGAGAGAGCCCCAGAGCAAGATTTAGTGTGGAGTGCAATGTTGTCTGCATATGCCCATAATGGTCACTCTAAAGAGGCTATTGATCTTTTTGATGCCATGAAACTCATGTCTATACCCAATGACATATGTTTTTTATCTGCTCTTCTCGCTTGTAGCCATGTTGGAAAAACCCACACAGGTCACTACTGGTTTTTGTCGATGCAAGCTGACTTTAATGTCAGACCCAACCAGCAGCACTTTTGTTGTATTGTTGATCTTTTGGGACGTGCTAGCTATTTGGTTAATGCAGAGGATTTAATTGCTAATATGAGCCGGATATTTAGAGTGGACGTGTTTTCTTGGAGCTTGCAAGAGTCACAGCCATGTTACATTTGGAACTAATGCAGCAAAGAATGTGTTCGACCTTTGTCCTGGGGGTGAAGCTCCTCAAGCTTATCCTTTGCTTGCAAATTTAATTGGTCAAAACGTGGAGTTTTAGAAACTCTTTTGCTTTAAAGAGATGTTGTATGATAATTTATTTTAGACATGTCAATGAGAACATAACTTATCACTACCTCATGCCCAGCAAACGTTGTTAGAATGTTTTTCAGAGTATATAACTACATTACAATCATTGATCTTGGACTCGGTCCTGAACTCCATTTTAGACTCGGTCTCGAACTTAGTCTTGAATAGTAAAAAATATAGTGCAACTAAGGAATTTACAAAATTGATGAATTTCCCATACTGTTTTCTTTATTAGATTTAAAATAAGATTACCATTTTTTTGAAATTGCAACATACAATTATAACCATATTGTGTAGTACATGATTCCCAAATTTTATTTCTTTCAAACTACAAAACAAGGTTGCAATGTGATTCAAGAATAAAAACAACTTTACCATTTGAAGAAATTAAAAATTGATCTGTATAAAGTGTTGAAGGATTACTTATAGAATTGATTTCTAAATCAATTATAATTATAATAAATTTTCTTTCTAATAAAGATATACTTTCGTTTTTAGATATATGTAAATCTTTAATTTGAACCGTAATGTCAAGAATTCCATCACATAATATGCAATAACAAACTTTGTTTTTCCTTTTTATAAAACAGGTACTGAAAATAAATTTTGGAGCTTGCTCAAAATTTCTTCAAACCTTACAATTTTTAAGCTTAATGTAAGTGTAAAATTTATGTTATTTTAGAAAAACTTATATTTTTATTTTCTCTATTATTTCTTAAAATCATATAAGCCATTTTTATCTCTATAATATAAATATAATTGTATTATATATAAAAGTATATCCATTTTAAAAATAGTATGGTTTAATGCACCAAAAAAATTTTATTGTCTCCAATATAAATATATGTGCAATTGCATATCCTAAGAATATAGTCATCTGACTATTATATCACTAGATATTAGATATGTTATGAGGTGTAATTTATTAGTGTTATTTTGTGTATATGCTTAAGATGGATCCAAGCTTGGATCCATCTTTTGTGGGATGTGACTATGAAATTGCTCTTATTTGTAAAATTGTATTACTATTTGAAATTAATATAGTTATTCTTAAATTGAAAGGATCAAGTTTGTGAGAAGATGATGTCTAAGCTCAATGTAATTAATGAGTTCAATAATATTAGAAACAAGTTAAAAATTTCCTAGAATGATTAATAACTCCTTAATTTTTTCTTTTGATTATTTTTTCTCTATCTTCTTATTTTTTTCAGCTTGTTCTCCTTTCCTGATGTTTTATATTTATCCTTAAATCTAGAGCCTTCTCTTCTCATAGTTTTTCTAGTGTATGTGTTGATTCACAGTTTGAAGTTTATTATTTAAATATCTAATCACTAGTAATAAGTAATCAAGTAAACTATTTGCAAATCAAAATAGAGAATGAAGAGGAATTTAAGTATAATTTAGATTTAGAGAAATTAAATATGCTTTTAAGTAAATTCTCTCTAAATTTATGTAATATATGTGTAATTTTTCTTACCCACAATTAAAACATAAATAAGTTATATACACATTTGTAGTGCATGTGGTTTTCACCCTTAATCCTATGGTGATTTGCTATAGGATAACCACAAAGCAAAACTATATACCATGTGTCACATGCCACGTATCCAAAGGACAATGGTGCGGAATCCAAGTTTTAAAGCCTTGGGCCATTGAACAAAGAAACAATGCAAAACTTTTAAGCATAGAGCTAAAAAGTGAAGGAATCGGAGCACAAAGTGACTCTTAAACATACAGCCCAAAAAGCGAAAGGACAGGAGCATAGAGCAACTTAGAATAGTCCTAAAGTATCTAGCATCCTAATGCTAAGACTAACATGCAAAACTGAGCCAAACGAAGTCTAGAGCTATTTCAGTATACCCATGGCCTAACAGAAGGATATAAGTACTCCACTAGTTAGCATGGAATAGAACTTAGGCTTAAACCCAAGCTAGACAAAAAAAAAAGATAAGCATATAAATAGGAGCTAAATTATGCCTCAAGTTGGTCAACCATATCCGACCTACCCACTATCCATACTATATATTTGGAACCCCCCATAAGGAGAATACACACTTTGGGCTTTCACCCCAAGATTCCTTTAGTATTAGGAGTTAGTCTCTAGAATAAGCTCAAAACTTACTAAATATAGAATATTCCTTGATTGTGAATTTGGATATAGGACGAACACCATTGTGTTTAAAACAATCTCTACATTTTGTATGTATGGCAAATGAACAAATCTAGACACTTTCCATAATTAGTATTTGGGACTGGAATGAGACTAACACAAAGGGCATGATAACGAAGGTGTTTGGCAGACATATAATCTATTATTGAGGAACAAAGTTTAATATCGCGGGGGTTCCTAACACTAGCAAATACAAGTTAATGAATGAGTTTCTCTAACCAAGTCAAATATGTTTGACTAATAGCACTTAGGAATTCCGTCTTTATGCTTATCTAGTCAACTGCATATGCGAAGACCAATTTCTCAACTAACTTAGGTGGAGACTGATAATAGGTTCAACAATACCGACTTCCTGCCATTGTGGTAGTAAGAAAAGAATATTTAAAAAGATTAGCAGACAAATAATTTTTGATACTTGAAGTCACATTCACGACACTCTCCCCCCTTAGGGAAAATTGACGTCCTCGTCAATGCATACTCAAGTTTAGACGATTGGCAAGGAAACAACTCTAATAAAAGTTCATGGTGATCATATTATGTGAGAAATGCACCAACTTAAATGAGCTAAGGGAACCTCTTTGTTTAACATGGATATGCTACCAACTCAAATACCTTGCAATTGTCGCTAATAAGGAATGACCGATGGAGTTAACCACCTTTGCTACTTTAGGTGTCACCTAGCTTACAAAAGTGTAATACGCCCTTACCTGTAGGGACATAGAGAAAGAAGCTAAAGGCCCCAATCCTCATGAGCAAAGAAACCAAACCTGTCGGTAGGGTTTAGATAGACTATTATAAATAAGTAGTTAAAGTTGTTTATAAAGTCACGCTCTTTTACGGAATAAAAAACATCGACAGAAAGGTGGGTGATGTGACCAGTTTATAGTAGCTACCTAATGACTAAAGATTTCACCATGGATACAAAGTGTCGAAGCCAGTCTGTCTATACTGGCCCAAACTCAAAGATCAATACATGGACAATATCAAAGTCATAGACAATGATATCTTAGAGACATAAATATTAATGAATAAATCTTAGATTAGAACACAAAAGTATTTCAAGTACCAATATGAGGGTATAAAAACCACCAAGATCTTTAAGGTTAAGATTGTAGGATTAACCATCCAATAAAATTTAATAGCAAGTGTATCATAAAAAAAATTCAATGATAAAAGTTAACTATTAAAGATTTTAGATAACATGCTAAACAACTTACAAAATACAACTAAAAGATCACAAAGTATCATCAACTGACAAGCAAAATGCTCATAAATGTATCACCTGAAGGAAATAACATCCTAATCTATTAGAGCTAACTCAAGCAACAATTAATAGAATAGAATGAATGCAGCAAGACCAACAAACACTCATTTAGGCTAACAATTGCACTAGCTAATCTAAATAAATCCTAGTCAACAATACGAAAAAACTCAAATTGCTTAATCAAGTGTCAATAACATCCTACTAATATCTCAAACCCAAAAGACCAATCTAAAACAAACCACAAAGAATATGTGGTATTGCGAAAAACTATAAACTATCAAAAAGAATAACTAACCATCATAAAAGACCATTATTCATCCCATCAATAGAAAGATGTATAATCATTGTTGAAGAAACACTCTACCATCATGAAGAATGGCAAATCATTCAACACCAATAATAATCTGGCAAAATCTTTAACAAGGATAATTAATTATCTTAGATGATAGTCAATCATCACCAATGATTGCTAGATGTAAATATTAACTTCAATATCAAAACTAATGAGCTAAAATGCCTTTCCCAATAACTTCTAACAAATGGATCACAAGTATGAAAACTCAAGAAACTAAAAGCTCAAAGAAGCCTATAACTAAGTTTTGCCTAACAATGATCACAAGTCTTGCATTTAATGTTAAAGAAGAAATCAAGGTACAACCCATAATATCCTCCTTAAAACATTCATAAGCTAAACTTTATAATGCAATGTTAATGAAGAGCATTTCTGCATCAATCCAAAAGTTAAACATAACAAAGCTATACTTAACAAGTGACTACCAAACCAATCCTCCATGAATCTATTTATAATAAGATGTCACTCACTTCATAACAAGTATAAAAAGAATCATTAATGATCCAACTCAAATCTAATAAAGATTTAAACATTGTAATATCAATTAGTAACTTTTTAGCTTGTAAAGTTAGTGTTGTCCACGATTAAATCACCTTTCAAGGAAAAGCTCAAAGCTCAACCCTTACTAAACAATCTTGTTTAGAACACAATTAACTCAAACTTGCCATTTAGTTTGTTTGAACATCAATACAGTTGCTAACTAACAAATGCACAAATGCCAATAACACAAAGCTATAGCAAAAATCATCAACACTATCTACATCAAGACTAATAAAATTTAATATTAATCGTACAGAGAGACATCTCATCTCACTTAAATATTAACATCAATAATATCAATGATAAGGCATCACTTCAATGCCATCAACACCATAACAAAGCTAATAGAAAGCAAATGTGAATCACCACTCAAAGCTTCCTAGCAACTAGGCTAACCAAAATCAAAGATACTATACTTAGTATTTGAGGTTAATTCTTCAACAATACTCAATTATAGATAACATATCATCAAGGAGTGATTCACCACATTCAAAACTCAATGAAATCTAACACCACAGACTAAATGCAACTAAATGATATTGACAGAG